AGGTTCTAAAACCTAACACATAGATACACTATAGGTTCACACTGAAAAAGGCTAAGACAATGTATTATTTTGAGGTAATTTATTTAACTATGTTTCTTAAGTTAAGTTCACATGTACTTCAAACTAGAACATTTAATCAAGAAAACATTTGTAATTTTGTGTAGCTGACAGCAGTTTGTTCTGTTTTCTCTTCATACAGGAGCGATCTGCAAAATTAGAACGGTGAAAAACAAACAAAAACTTAGGTGTTAATTAAATTGATTGGAAATCGTTCTTTATAAGGGTGTTATTTAAATGTGTAATTGATAAAAGAAGTGGATAATGATGTAAACACTGTAATGACAACTTTTACCTCAATTTAACTTTTGTCAGTTTTGCCAACAGTAGGAATAAAAGGATGTGTAACAGACGTCATTATTAATTCCAATGCCTTTGCTAGGAAATCGAACCTGGGACCCCTGGCTTACTAGTCTGACACTCAACTGATTGCGAGCTAAAGAGAAGTTCTCTCTAGCCAAGCGGGATTTTGCAACTAGTATTTTAGCAGAGTTACATAAGGTCTGATGTTGAAGGTAGCCAACATTTATACATTTCATGTAGGTTAAGGCTGATAGGATATAGGGCAGAATTGTTTTCTGTGAGGGAGATATAAGTCTCTTGAGAAATGTTCACTGCAATTGTCACTTTGTTTTTGTCATAAATTATTAAAGATATTTTACTGGTAGTATTTACACTCTAAATGCTGTTCAGTAGAATTTGAAATAATTTATTGATATATTTCTTGTCCTACAATAGACCCATGTTCAACTTTTGGGTTATGATTTGTATGTTGAACCAAGAAGTTGACCGTGTAGTCATAGAAACGTCACACTCTAATCTTCTACTGGTTGTGTTATAAGATGAAGGCGACCGTGTAGTCATAGAAACGTCACACTCAAATCTTCTACTGGTTGTGTTATAAGATGAAGGTGACCGTGTAGTCATAGAAACGTCACACTCTAATCTTCAAGGTGACCGTGTAGTCATAGAAACGTCACACTCTAATCTTCTACTGGTTGTGTTATAAGATGAAGGCGACCGTGTAGTCATAGAAACGTCACACTCTAATCTTCTACTGGTTGTGTTATAAGATGAAGGCGACCGTGTAGTCACAGAAACGTCACACTCTAATCTTCAAGGCGACCGTGTAGTCATAGAAACGTCATACTCTAATCTTCTACTGGTTGTGTTATAAGATGAAGGTGACCGTGTAGTCATAGAAACGTCACACTCTAATCTTCAAGGCGACCGTGTAGTCATAGAAACGTCACACTCTAATCTTCTACTTGTTGTGTTCTAAGATGAAGGCGACTGTTTAGTCATCGAAACGCCACACTCTAATCTTCTACTGGTTGTGTTATAAGATGAAGATGACCGTGTAGTCATCAAAACGTCACACTCTGATCTCGTACTGGTTGTGTTATAAGATGAAGGTGACCGTGTAGTAATAGAAACATCACAGTCTAATCTTCTACTGGTTGTGTTCTAAGATGAAGGCGATTGTTTAGTCATGGAAACGCCACACTCTAATCTTCTACTGGTTGTGTTATAAGATGAAGATGACCGTGTAGTCATCAAAACGTCACACTCTGATCTCGTACTGGTTGTGTTATAAGATGAAGATGACCGTGTAGTCATCAAAACGTGACACTCTGATCTCGTACTGGTTTTGTTTTAAGATGAAGGTGACCGTGTAGACAGATACGTCACACACTAATCTTCTACTGGTTGTGTTGTAAGATGAAGAACTTTTATTCTATTTAGTATGACCAACTTTAAAGAAATGTTCAGATATATTTACTGAAATATTTACGCCTGTTGAAATTTCCAAGGAATTTTTGCTGAATCTTGCTCTCCCCTTCCATAGATTAAATCTGTATATTAAATTTCCTTAAAGTACACAGAAGAAACAAAATTAAGGAGGATGAGAAAATATTCAAAATCAAATTAGCAGATAAAATCATTTATATGTTAATGGAATATACGCCGCGTTAGTTTAAAGAATGCCATTTGAGTTTACACAACTGGATGTCAGTCAAATTTATTTCGGATGGATTTTCCTCGTATCACTGAAATGAAAAGTTGTCTAAGTATAGACATAACCTTGTAGAGTAATGGAGTGTAGCACAGTTTTCCTTGTACGTAGATTGACAAGTGCACTGTCCATGTTCCTGAATTCGTGTATGTAATTACCTGGTATTGGTTGATTTGCCTGTACATAGATCAGTGTATACATGGATTTAATTGTACAGCTGTAGGTCTCGTCAATTTGAATATTTTGTGTAGATACTTGATAAAGAGAACTTACTAGTATCTGTTATTTATTCTGTGTTTCACCTTCAAAATCCAAATGTTTTGTTTGATCTCAAGTTTAATCTAAAAAATCCCCGAGAGATACCCCAGTAATTTGAGGACAAGCTTATGAGATACTGTTTTTTTTTATACATGCAGTTTTTTTAAAATAAGATTGTTCAAGAGTTTTAAGCGACACACAAGGATATCATTTCTACTTTAGAACTAGATACAATAAAGCCAGAATTCAAAATTTAACTCCATTATACAACTCGTTCATCCTTTTAGGAGTCTGTGGATTATGACTGACAGGTCAGAATTGTATTTCACTGTTTAGATGTCAGTCAGTCTTTACTTTGCTAAATATACCTGGATAAAGTCAGAGATAAACCTATCCTTATTTCTTTATTCTTATCTATTTTTAGATAAAGCTATTTAAATCGTGACCATAATATTCTCAAAGTATCACTGTGTTTAAAGATCAAAGTTTGAGTTTCTGTTTAAAATAGTTTCAGATTTAAACTGCTGTGTAAATATTGACAATTAAAAACAAATATTGCTTTAGTTCAATTTACAGTCAGTCAACTGAGAAAAATAAAATATTTTTCATATTGTTATTGTGAAATGTAATACGTAAGTTATGTGTCATGTATGAATGAGGTGATTACATAACTGCTCTTGCATATGTAACCATTTATATTATTATGTTTCTATAATGTAAACATCACTAGTGATATATATACAGGGAAGGTGTTTGAAGGGCGACTGATCAGTGACATAAAACAGTTCTATATGACATGGTGATCATTAGAATCTGAACTGGAAGTGAAACACATTGACGTTCATATATTATATAGTAAGTCGTTAAATTTAATAAGGTTTTAGCAAAAGAGAGAAATTTTATTTTCCAAGACAGAAGATTTACAAATTTAAAAAGAAAACTCTTTAAGTTACCATAGAATTAGATATTGTGGGGCTCAGTTTTTGTAAGACAAATCAGAATTTGTTGATTTCTTAGATGAATATCGCTCATGTTAATTATACTAATTATGGCAGTTTGTGGACATCTGTTTCCATAAAATAAACAAAATCAACAAAAAAGAATTTCCCACGGAAATAAATGATCTCAGAGGATAAGTTAGTGTAAATGGAATGGCTCTTTTTGAGTCGTTTTTTTTAATATTTTGTATAAAAAAAATAGCAGTTCTTTGTACATCAAGTTATAAAATAAAAATTTGATGAAAGTAAACAAGCAACAAAGACTTTTTAATATTGGGCCACCATTTGTTCTTAGATCTAGAGGTTTGGCCAATAGGTACCTACAGGCACGGCAGACCTTTTGTTTTGTCGGCTTAGAAGAAGTCTCAAGTGACCTATTGAGATTGCCTGTCATCCAGTGTTCGTCGTAAACAATTTACATTTTCGACTTCTTTTCAATAACCAAAAGGCACAGGGTCATGGTATTGGGCCAGAAGCATGCTGGGAAAAAGGGTTACCAAGGTTACAGGTCAAATACACTAAACTATGACAACAGACAGTGTTATCAGTTCCATTAAATTGAAAATTCAACTTTCAAACTTAGAAATAAGAAAAGCTTAGTAAGTATGCATATAACAGATCTGTTATCTGTTTGTCCTAAAGCTTGGACAGAGGAACAGGTTCTAAAACTTTTGTTGGTATAAGGTTCAATCCATTGGTTGGTCAAAAGTTCTGCCTGACAGGCGCAATCTTGGATTTTGACTTTGAAAGTTTGTTATTGCTGTTTTTTTACAGGCCCTGTGGACCTTTATCAGTGATTATAATGTTTCTCCCTTTTACAGAATTGTCCTCCCCAAGATTTGTATGTGAGCTATGTATATTGTAACTAATACTGTTGACCACACCCAGATAAATAGACTATACAGTCTCCGCCCTTGTAACGTTGTCTGTCTACACATCTATAACATGTACTGGCAGTGTACACTACCTAGCTGTAATGGTGTTAGATAGAAGGATTCCTGAGATATAGAAATTCACTCACAATCAAGTGTAATTATTTGTTTTGTGTTTATTTATATCTACATTTAAATTTTATTGATAATATACAGCAAAATGTGTCTATTCTAACCCCTGAGTAATATGACATTCTGTCTAATTTGAACCCTGAGTATTCTGATATTCTGTCAAATTTGAACCCTGGGTATTCTGACATTCTGTCAAATTTGAACCCTGGGTATTCTGACATTCTGTCTAATTTGAACCCTAGGTATCTTGACATTCTTTCTAATTTGAACCCTGGGTATTCTGACACACTGTCTAATTTGAACCCTAGGTATCCTGACATTCTGTCTAATTTGAACCCTAGGTATCCTGACATTCTGTCTAATTTGAACCCTGGGTATCCTGACATTCTGTCTAATTTGAACCCTAGGTATCCTGACATTCTGTCTAATGTGAACCCGAGGTATCCTGACATTCTGTCTAATTTGAACCCTAGGTATCTTGACATTCTGTCTAATTTCAACCCTGGGTATTCTGACACTCTGTCTAATTTGAACCCTAGGTATCCTGACATTCTGTCTAATTTGAACCCTAGGCATCCTGACATCCTTTCTCATCCAACAAATTTTGATTTGTTGTATCTTTATAAATGAAATATCTAAATATTCAATTTATTTTTTTATTTTCAGATGCTAACCGCCTAGATGATTATATACACCATTATGAAGAGCTAAACTACAGTCCGGAAACTCTACACAAGCGCCATCTACGGGCCAAACGCTCTGTCAGTGACCCATCATTGGTGCTACGATTCAAAGCTTATGGCAAGTAAGTGTTGATTATGACCGACATTGATATTGTGTACCATTTATTGTGATGAAGGCCTTTTGAAACCACAACAGACACTAATAGACTAATGTGTGTAATTCTGCTTTCTACCCTTGAAGAAGGCTTTATTGATGTTTGTTTGTTAGGATTACCAGTCAGCGGACTTACCGTGTGCTTCCGCCTAAAAAAATAGTGCGCTGGATAAAAGAATGCACATCAAAAATATTCAAAGTACTAACAAAGTTTAATACACGTGAACAAATGAATAATACATATTTCAATATTTAATTCAATTGTCATGTACAAAAGGTAATATTATTAATTCGTTTCCATTACTGTTGATTTTGTACGCCAGTTGTCAGTTATGAAGTGATATTGTGCAACTACAGTTGTTAGGGTTATATAGTGGAAATACCATGGAGTGGTAAATATTTGAAGATGAGGTCTCCTTATAGTAGCTGGTGACAACCTCACTGAACAACATACAGGAGGCCCATCACATTACATCCTGAGCAATAAGCTTAGTGTTTTGTTAAAGCTAATCCAGCACTGACTGGCCTGTCTCTCTGCTTGTTGCTCAACCTGCAACGGGTATGGAATGTCAAACTACCCACCTGAAGTCTTTACCCGATGTTACGTAGACTGTTGCTTTAAAGGACTGAGGTATTGCAGTCCCTTTTAAGTAGATTATCAAATTGATGTGGTTTTAAATGAGACGACAAGACATCTTGAGCAGTCACCATTACAGATAAACACATATGAAGTCAGTTGACATCTGTCTGTTGGGTGAAATGTGAATAAAGACATGTAAAATTAAAACCAAATTCTATCTAAACAGTGTGATGATAGACATACTTGTGTACATGTCCACAATCTACAGTAAGTCACTTCTTTTTTCTATTGACTTCATGATCATGTCCATACGCAGTATTAGTCAGTCATGAATTCAAAATCCTCACAAATATTATAATAGTTATTCATGGATTTAAAAGTCATTTCTAGATCAATGTTCGCTAAATCATGTATTTGTCTGAAGAGGGAAGTTTGTGCTAAATCTAAGTCATCATTATCATCATCATCATTATATTAATCATCATCATCATCATCATCATCATCATCATCATCATCATCATCATCATCATCATCATCATCATCATCATCATCATCAAATCATCATCATCATTATATTCATCAATTACAATATACATCAGGTTGATATATAAAAATGTATTTCATTCATCTGTGTCCAGGATAGATAATTGGTTTTAAATGTAAATTAGATGTAATTTTCAAAAACTGACACAAATACCATTGAACTAAACATAATTCTTTATTTTCATAATTTGTTTATAACCATGGAAACAACAAAGGTTTCTCTCTGTCACATGTTTTGTGTTATGCAGTAAATTAATACATAGATATTGTTTAACTTTGCCTAGGTTTGATTCCTTTTCTAAGTATTATATATATTATTAAGTCTTATATGTTCAAAGTGATTAAGTTTTCTTTGGAATATTACTTACTATAAAGGTATAATCATTTTTTATTTTTCAGAAATTTTGATCTTCAGTTAGAAAGAGCAAAGAGCATATTTTCTCCTGACTTTAAACTCCAGCACAGAAATGGCAGCAAAATGGCTGTCGACACGTCATTTATATACGAGGGTAGAGTTTCAGGTAGGTAACTATGATGGTAAAGTTTCAGGTAGGTAAATATGAGGGTAGAGTTTCAGGTAGGTAAATATGAGGGTAAAGTTTCAGGTAGGTAAATATGACGGTAAACTTTCAGGTAGGTAAATATGAGGGTAAAGTTTCAGGTAGGTAAATATGAGGGTAGAGTATCAGGTAGGTAAATATGAGGGTAAAGTTTCCGGTAGGTAAATATGAGGGTAAAGTTTCCGATAGGTAAAAATGATGGAAGAGTTTCAGGTAGGTAAATAAGATGGTAAAGTTTCAGGTAGGTAAATATGAGGGGAGTAAAAATGGCTGGCGATACTTAATTTAAATATGAGGTGGAGTTTTGGGTACAGTATATACTTCTTGCAGTTTTGTCTTGAAACTTGAAGAACCAGGAATAACAACAATTCCTGAATTTCAACATTTTATTTGCTGGTGTTTGGAGTATGGTTCAGAGGTGTGTAGTGGTATGTTGATTATTGGATAACAGGAACCACTTGATAATCAATTAAATTTTGCTGACAGTTATATAATTGGTGAAAGTTTTGATTTGATATAAAAGTTGTTTATTGGGTGTTTGTATGATTTCTTAAAAAGTAAAATTCTGCTGTTTTCACTTACATGTTGACACTCAGAGTAACGTTTGTCGCCTTGAACAGTAACAGTTAGTGAAGCTATTTGGGTTAACTTCGGCTTACGCCCAGGACCCACGAGTCGACAAGGACCGCACTTAAAACTTAAGTGGCAATATCCATGATATAATGCCTTAAGAGGAAGAGACCATTCAGATATCAACTTCACTTTGAAATTGTTGAGATTTTTCTGATTACAATACATTATTGTTGTTGACGTAAAAAACAAGAGAAAAAATATTTGATAAATTTTAAAAATTAACACAATATATGTATCTATCTGTCCATATCAATATTCCATATATAAATATAAACAAGAAGATGGTATTTAATTCTGTATTACATCTGATGTTATATTTACTTCCGATTCAAAAATTATCGTTTAAACATTTTGTTTATTGAAGAAACAAAACTGATGAAAAATCAGTTATTTAGACGAACAGGATATTCTGATTTCTTTAACAGCTGATTGCTGTTCCAGCCAGGTGCAGGAACCAAAACTTACTTATGAGCTTAGTAGAATGCTTATTCTTTGAGAATTTCTCCCAGCGGAGATATTTCTCGTTTGATAAATATAAGGAACTTGTTGTAAAGTGACTGTCAGTGAGGCTTGTTGTAAAGTGACTGTCAGTGAGGCTTGTTGTAAAGTGATGTTGTAAAGTGACTGTCAGTGAGGCTCGTTGTAAAGTGACTGTCAGTGAGGCTTGTTGTAAAGTGACTGTCAGTGAAGCTTGTTGTAAAGTGACTGTCAGTGAGGCTTGTTGTAAAGTGACTGTCAGTGAAGCTTGTTGTAAAGTGACTGTCAGTGAGGCTTGTTGTAAAGTGACTGTCAGTGAGGCTCGTTGTAAAGTGACTGTCAGTGAAGCTTGTTGTAAAGTGACTGTCAGTGAGGCTCGTTGTAAAGTGACTGTCAGTGAGGCTTGTTGTAAAGTGATGTTGTAAAGTGACTGTCAGTGAGGCTTGTTGTAAAGTGATGTTGTAAAGTGACTGTCAGTGAGGCTTGTTGTAAAGTGATGTTGTAAAGTGACTGTCAGTGAGGCTTGTTGTAAAGTGACTGTCAGTGAGGCTTGTTGTAAAGTGACTGTCAGTGAGGCTTGTTGTAAAGTGATTGTCAGTGAGGCTTGTTGTAAAGTGACTGTCAGTGAGGCTTGTTGTAAAGTGACTGTCAGTGAGGCTTGTTGTAAAGTGACTGTCAGTGAGGCTTGTTGTAAAGTGACGTTGTAAAGTGACTGTCAGTGAGGCTTGTTGTAAAGTGACTGTCAGTGAGGCTTGTTGTAAAGTGACTGTCAGTGAGGCTTGTTGTAAAGTGACTGTCAGTGAGGCTTGTTGTAAAGTGACTGTCAGTGAGGCTCGTTGTAAAGTGATGTTGTAAAGTGACTGTCAGTGAGGCTTGTTGTAAAGTGACTGTCAGTGAGGCTTGTTGTAAAGTGACTGTCAGTGAGGCTTGTTGTAAAGTGACTGTCAGTGAGGCTTGTTGTAAAGTGACTGTCAGTGAGGCTCGTTGTAAAGTGATGTTGTAAAGTGACTGTCAGTGAGGCTTGTTGTAAAGTGACTGTCAGTGAGGCTTGTTGTAAAGTGACGTTGTAAAGTGACTGTCAGTGAGGCTTGTTGTAAAGTGACTGTCAGTGAGGCTTGTTGTAAAGTGACGTTGTAAAGTGACTGTCAGTGAGGCTTGTTGTAAAGTGACTGTCAGTGAGGCTTGTTGTAAAGTGACGTTGTAAAGTGACTGTCAGTGAGGCTTGTTGTAAAGTGACTGTCAGTGAAGCTTGTTGTAAAGTGATTGTCAGTGAGGCTTGTTGTAAAGTGACTGTCAGTGAGGCTCGTTGTAAAGTGATGTTGTAAAGTGACTGTCAGTGAGGCTTGTTGTAAAGTGATTGTCAGTGAGGCTTGTTGTAAAGTGACTGTCAGTGAGGCTTGTTGTAAAGTGACTGTCAGTGAGGCTTGTTGTAAAGTGACTGTCAGTGAGGCTCGTTGTAAAGTGATGTTGTAAAGTGACTGTCAGTGAGGCTTGTTGTAAAGTGACTGTCAGTGAAGCTTGTTGTAAAGTGACTGTCAGTGAGGCTTGTTGTAAAGTGACTGTCAGTGAAGCTTGTTGTAAAGTGACTGTCAGTGAGGCTTGTTGTAAAGTGACTGTCAGTGAGGCTCGTTGTAAAGTGACTGTCAGTGAGGCTTGTTGTAAAGTGACTGTCAGTGAGGCTCGTTGTAAAGTGACTGTCAGTGAGGCTCGTTTTAAAGTGACTGTCAGTGAGGCTCGTTGTAAAGTGACTGTCAGTGAGGCTCGTTGTAAAGTGACTGTCAGTGAGGCTTGTTGTAAAGTGACTGTCAGTGAGGCTCGTTGTAAAGTGACTGTCAGTGAGGCTCGTTGTAAAGTGACTGTCAGTGAGGCTCGTTGTAAAGTGACTGTCAGTGAGGCTCGTTGTAAAGTGACTGTCAGTGAGGCTCGTTGTAAAGTGACTGTCAGTGAGGCTTGTTGTAAAGTGACTGTCAGTGAGGCTCGTTGTAAAGTGACTGTCAGTGAGGCTCGTTGTAAAGTGACTGTCAGTGAGGCTCGTTGTAAAGTGACTGTCAGTGAGGCTTGTTGTAAAGTGACTGTCAGTGAGGCTCGTTGTAAAGTGACTGTCAGTGAGGCTCGTTGTAAAGTGACTGTCAGTGAGGCTTGTTGTAAAGTGACTGTCAGTGAGGCTCGTTGTAAAGTGACTGTCAGTGAGGCTTGTTGTAAAGTGATGTTGTAAAGTGACTGTCAGTGAGGCTTGTTGTAAAGTGACTGTCAGTGAGGCTTGTTGTAAAGTGACTGTCAGTGAGGCTTGTTGTAAAGTGACTGTCAGTGAGGCTCATTGTAAAGTGACTGTCAGTGAGGCTTGTTGTAAAGTGACTGTCAGTGAGGCTATTTGTAAAGTGATGTTGTAAAGTGACTGTCAGTGAGGCTCGTTGTAAAGTGACTGTCAGTGAGGCTTGTTGTAAAGTGACTGTCAGTGAGGCTCGTTGTAAAGTGACTGTCAGTGAGGCTTGTTGTAAAGTGACTGTCAGTGAGGCTTGTTGTAAAGTGACTGTCAGTGAGGCTTGTTGTAAAGTGACTGTCAGTGAGGCTCGTTGTAAAGTGATTGTCAGTGAGGCTTGTTGTAAAGTGACTGTCAGTGAGGCTCGTTGTAAAGTGATTGTCAGTGAGGCTTGTTGTAAAGTGATTGTCAGTGAGGCTTGTTGTAAAGTGACTGTCAGTGAGGCTCGTTGTAAAGTGACTGTCAGTGAGGCTTGTTGTAAAGTGACTGTCAGTGAGGCTCGTTGTAAAGTGACTGTCAGTGAGGCTCGTTGTAAAGTGACTGTCAGTGAGGCTCGTTGTAAAGTGACTGTCAGTGAGGCTTGTTGTAAAGTGACTGTCAGTGAGGCTTGTTGTAAAGTGACTGTCAGTGAGGCTATTTGTAAAGTGATGTTGTAAAGTGACTGTCAGTGAGGCTTGTTGTAAAGTGATTGTCAGTGAGGCTTGTTGTAAAGTGATTGTCAGTGAGGCTTGTTGTAAAGTGACTGTCAGTGAGGCTCGTTGTAAAGTGATTGTCAGTGAGGCTTGTTGTAAAGTGATTGTCAGTGAGGCTTGTTGTAAAGTGACTGTCAGTGAGGCTTGTTGTAAAGTGATTGTCAGTGAGGCTTGTTGTAAAGTGACTGTCAGTGAGGCTTGTTGTAAAGTGACGTTGTAAAGTGACTGTCAGTGAGGCTTGTTGTAAAGTGATTGTCAGTGAGGCTTGTTGTAAAGTGATTGTCAGTGAGGCTTGTTGTAAAGTGACTGTCAGTGAGGCTTGTTGTAAAGTGATTGTCAGTGAGGCTTGTTGTAAAGTGACTGTCAGTGAGGCTCGTTGTAAAGTGACTGTCAGTGAGGCTTGTTGTAAAGTGACTGTCAGTGAGGCTCGTTGTAAAGTGACTGTCAGTGAGGCTTGTTGTAAAGTGACTGTCAGTGAGGCTTTTGTAAAGTGACTGTCAGTGAGGCTTGTTGTAAAGTGACTGTCAGTGAGGCTTGTTGTAAAGTGACTGTCAGTGAGGCTATTTGTAAAGTGACTGTCAGTGAGGCTTGTTGTAAAGTGACTGTCAGTGAGGCTTGTTGTAAAGTGACTGTCAGTGAGGCTTGTTGTAAAGTGACTGTCAGTGAAGCTTGTTGTAAAGTGATGTTGTAAAGTGACTGTCAGTGAGGCTTGTTGTAAAGTGACTGTCAGTGAAGCTTGTTGTAAAGTGATGTTGTAAAGTGACTGTCAGTGAGGCTTGTTGTAAAGTGATGTTGTAAAGTGACTGTCAGTGAGGCTTGTTGTAAAGTGATGTTGTAAAGTGACTGTCAGTGAGGCTTGTTGTAAAGTGACTGTCAGTGAAGCTTGTTGTAAAGTGACTGTCAGTGAGGCTTGTTGTAAAGTGACTGTCAGTGAGGCTTGTTGTAAAGTGACTGTCAGTGAGGCTTGTTGTAAAGTGACTGTCAGTGAGGCTTGTTGTAAAGTGACTGTCAGTGAGGCTTGTTGTAAAGTGATGTTGTAAAGTGACTGTCAGTGAGGCTCGTTGTAAAGTGATGTTGTAAAGTGACTGTCAGTGAGGCTTGTTGTAAAGTGACTGTCAGTTGTAAAGTGACTGTCAGTGAGGCTTGTTGTAAAGTGACTGTCAGTGAGGCTCGTTGTAAAGTGACTGTCAGTGAAGCTTGTTGTAAAGTGACTGTCAGTGAGGCTCGTTGTAAAGTGACTGTCAGTGAGGCTTGTTGTAAAGTGACTGTCAGTGAGGCTTGTTGTAAAGTGACTGTCAGTGAGGCTTGTTGTAAAGTGACTGTCAGTGAGGCTTGTTGTAAAGTGACTGTCAGTGAGGCTCGTTGTAAAGTGACTGTCAGTGAGGCTTGTTGTAAAGTGACTGTCAGTGAGGCTTGTTGTAAAGTGACTGTCAGTGAGGCTCGTTGTAAAGTGACTGTCAGTGAGGCTCATTGTAAAGTGACTGTCAGTGAGGCTCGTTGTAAAGTGACTGTCAGTGAGGCAAAGGAATTAAACATTGTGTATGATAATTAATAAGTAAACATTGTGGCAATTTCACAAATGAGATCAGACACAAATAAAAAAAAAACATACAGTTTTTTCCTGTAAAATGTAAAATTTGGAAATTTACTGTGTCAGAGTTTTACTGTCTGTCAGGGTGAATCAGTGCAGCATAAACGTATAATCAAATCCAGACTTGTTCATGAATCAGAAAAATCAGAATTTATGATGGACTGCAATACCTCAAGCTAAAATCTGAGGTATGTATTTTAAGCCTTCCCCTCAAAGTGACAAGTTGTTGACAGGATAAGAAAACCAGCAGTCAACCAAAAATTTTCAACAGTTGAAGATAAAAAATACTGATTCAACAGCTGATAGTGTAATTCTTGTGTCGTTTCAGGAATTCCAGGAAGTTATGTCCATGGAGCTATCGTGGAGGGAGTGTTCCGAGGATTCGTGGTCGTCCCCGGAGACACAACCTACCACATAGAGCATTCCCGGAGATTCTTCTCAGATGAAAAACCATTCCATTCTGTTATATATAGCGAAAAACACATGAATATGGATCCATATAAGTAAGGAAGAAATGTTGCATTATGGGAAAATAATTATTTTTCATCATCAAACTTTATGCTCTTTATATTTTGATATATGTATCTAAATTTGTCTGTCCAAACCATAAGTACTGCAGGTTATTTTAAACTTATAACTTAATCTTTTGGCTTTAAAAACATTACCTTTCACTTTTCTACCTTCATATATAAAAGAGTAAATAAATAAGAAGTGCAATTTCTATTTATCTCAAACATACCGGATAAAACAGCATAAATTGACCTCATTTCTTTGCCACTCAAAAACTTTAAATTGTTCTTCATCATCTTGCATCCAGGTATCAAACAGAATTTGAAGTGCATCTGTCTTTTCTATCTTCAGTCATAAAAGAGTATAAATTGACCCTTAGTTTTTACCTCCAGACACAAAAGAGTCTACATTGCAATTAATTTTCTTACTATTAAACTTTGTTATTAAAACGCCCTTGGCAATCATTCTACCACACATGATTACAATTTGTGCTTTTGTTTCTTACCTTTAAGAAAACAGTTATCAATCACATTTTGTGTTCTTAATTCCAGCTATAAAACAGCTTTAATTGACATATATTACTCTCTTCAGATTTGTAGAAGTTGCACTTTATGTTCTCATCGTCAGACAATAAAGAACAGAAGTTATCTCCCTTTCTTACTCTGGTTAAGTCAGTAAAATGAATTTGACTTTTTTATTTCCAGACACAAAAGACCAGAAGGAGCTGGTACATGTGCACTTGACTTATATCAAGACAAGATGGAGGAAATGGCCAATATACCATTGGATAAGCATGAACATAACATAAAGGTAAATTTTAAGTCCCACTAAGTTTGAGGTGGAGGGGATGTATGGTGTTACCCATGTCCGTCTGTCGCGTCATGTCACATCAGGTCACGTCAAGTCACCTGGGTCACATCATGTCACATTGGGTCATGTCAAGTCACCTGGGTCGCATCATGTCACATTCTCACTCAGTGTCATACCTTCAGAACTACCCAACAGGTCTCACATTTAACCCATACTATCACAACATCTAGTCTTTTATTTTGTCATATTTAGGTTGTCATTGGTCAAGAGTAGAGGGTCAAAGGTCACATTTGACAGCTTCAGCAAATTCATTCATGTTTTCACTTGAATATTGTTTTCTTGATGGAAAAATTTATTCATAATTATTGGGGAAAATATAAATCTTGTGGAATATTTTCCTTTTCTAGGAGTAAGTTTAGATAAATCCTTGTTAGAGAAGATGAATACTTTATTTGATATACTGTTGTAAAATTGAGTGGTGTAAATGAGTTATCATGTTTGTATAACTACACAGTCATGCAGACCTGGAACAACAGGTAAAGTGATTGTATTACAACACTGCCACGCAGACCTGGAACGACAGGTAAAGTGATTGTATAACTACATTGTCACACAGACCTGGAACGACAGGTAAAGTGATTGTACAACTACACTGTCACGCAGACCTGGAACGACAGGTACAGTGATTGTATAACTACACTGTCACGCAGACCTGGAACGACAGGTAAAGTGATTGTACAACTACACTGTCACGCAGACCTGGAACGACAGGTAAAGTGATTGTACAACTACACTGTCACGCAGACCTGGAACGACAGGTAAAGTGATTGTACAACTACGCTGTCATGCAGACCTGGAACGACAGGTAAAGTGATTGTATACACTGTCACACAGACCTGGAACGACTGGTAAAGTGATTGTACAACTACACTGTCACGCAGACCTGGAACGACAGGTAAAGTGATTGTACAACTACACTGTCACGCAGACCTGGAACGACAGGTAAATATGATTGTATACACTGTCACGCAGACCTGGAACAACAGGTAAATGTGATTGTATACACTATCACGCAGACCTGGAATGACAGGTAAATGTGATTGTATAACTACACTGTCACGCAGACCTGGAACGACAGGTAAAGTGATTGTACAACTACACTGTCACGCAGACCTGGAACGACAGGTAAAGTGATTGTATACACTGTCACACAGACCTACACTAAAGTCAACTACACTGCAGAGACCTGGAACGACAGGTAAAGTGATTGTACATCTACACTGTCACGCAGACCTGGAACAACAGGTAAATGTGATTGAATACACTGTCACGCAGACCTGGAACGACAGGTAAATGTGGTTGTATACACTGTCACGCAGACCTGGAACGACACGTAAAGTGATTGTATACACTGTCACACAGACCTGGAACGACAGGTAAAGTGATTGTACAACTACACTGTCACGCAGACCTGGAACGACAGGTAAAGTGATTGTATACACTGTCACACAGACCTGGAACGACAGGTAAAGTGATTGTACAACTACACTGTCATGCAGACCTGGAACGACAGGTACAGTGATTGTACATCTACACTGTCACGCAGACCTGGAACAACAGGTAAATGTGATTGAATACACTGTCACGCAGACCTGGAACGACAGGTAAATGTGATTGTATACACTGTCACGCAGACCTGGAACGACAGGTAAATGTGGTTGTATACACTGTCACGCAGACCTGGAACGACACGTAAAGTGATTGTATACACTGTCACGCAGACCTGGAACAGCAGGTAAATGTGATTATATCGCTGTGGGATTTCTTGATAACTCAATGTTAAGACTTAGGTACAGGATTGATACGAGGCTTTCTGAATGATAGCTGTCCCGAATCCTTGGAGCTTTATGTAAACTACCATGTGTTCCGCATCAGTGGTTCTAATTCTTTAGATAAGTTGAATGGTCACTTGAGAAATGCCTGTATTTCTGGTTCTTGTCATGTATTATTAATCGTTTGGTGAATTTTGTTTATCTCCAGGCCACGCTACATAAACAAGAAATGGAACATTATCGTAATATGTATACCAAAGAAGAGAATACAGTTCACCAAGAAGCAGCACACAGACGACAGAAACGTAACACACTCGGCCCTCAGAACACCTGTTATATGTATCTACGATCGGATCCAATTTTATGGGATTTATACAAGAATAAGGGTGTAGTAAGTGACATGTAACTTCGTGTGGTTAAATAATGTCAAGGTCGTATGCAAATTATCCTTCTTAAATAGTTATAATAAAAAAGATATATGCTTCACAATCCAGGAAGAATTGAAACTGAATACTGTAAAATTGTTTATTTTTATTGATTTTTTAGCACTCTTCGTCCACAAATATATATCTTTTTGTTGAATCCTTTAAATGTTCAAATTAGAATTGGTGTTTTCTATCTATGAAATTAATTGTTGACAAGTATTCCTGTGAAAATCCACAAAATTTAAGCTTCATGAAAAAATCTTGATGTCTCCGTTATGTGTTTTAGGATGAATGAACTCCCAACTTGAGATGTAATTTTATGACTGATATCAATATCCCCCCAGTTGTAATTTTATGACTGATATCAATATCCCCCAGTTGTAATTTTATGACTGATATCAATATCCCCCAGTTGTAATTTTATGACTGATATCAATATCCCCCAGTTGTAATTTTATGACTGATATCAATATCCCCCAGTTGTAATTTTATGACTGATATCAATATCCCCCAGTTGTAATTTTATGACTGATATCAATATCCCCCAGTTGTATTTTTATGACTGATATCAATATCCCCCAGTTGTATTTTTATGACTGATATCAATATCCCCCAGTTGTAATTTTATGACTGATATCAATATCCCCCCATTATAATTTTCAGAGTGATATCAATATCCCCCAGTTGTAATTTTATGACTGATATCAATATCCCCCCAGTTGTAATTTTATGACTGATATCAATATCCCCCAGTTGTAATTTTATGACTGATATCAATATCCCCCAGTTGTAATTTTATGACTGATATCAATATCCCCCAGTTGTAATTTTATGACTGATATCAATATCCCCCAATTATAATTTTCAGAGTGATATCAATATCCCCCTGTTATAATTTTATGACTGATATCAATATCCCCCAGTTGTAATTTTATGACTGATATCAATATCCCCCCAGTTGTAATTTTATGACTGATATCAATATCCCCCAATTATAATTTTCAGAGTGATATCAATATCCCCCCAGTTGTAATTATATGACTGATATCAATATCCCCCAGTTGTAATTTTATGACTGATATCAATATCCCCCCATTGTAATTTTATGACTGATATCAATATCCCCCAGTTGTATTTTTATGACTGATATCAATATCCCCCCAGTTGTAATTTTATGACTGATATCAATATCCCCCAGTTGTAATTTTATGACTGATATCAATATCCCCCAATTATAATTTTCAGAGTGATATCAATATCCCCCCAGTTGTAATTATATGACTGATATCAATATCCCCCCTGTTATAATTTTATGACTGATATCAATATCCCCCCTGTTATAATTTTATGACTGATATCAATATCCCCCCTGTTATAATTTTATGACTGATATCAATATCCCCCAGTTGTAATTTTATGACTGATATCAATATCCCCCAGTTGTAATTTTATGACTGATATCAATATCCCCCCATTATAATTTTCAGAGTGATATCAATATCCCCCCAGTTGTAATTTTATGACTGATATCAATATCCCCCCAGTTATAATATCCCCCCAGTTATAATTTTATGACTGATATCAATATCCCCCCATTATAATTTTCAGAGTGATATCAATATCCCCCCTGTTATAATTTTATGACTGATATCAATATCCCCCCTGTTATAATTTTATGACTGATATCAATATCCCCCAGTTGTAATTTTATGACTGATAGCAATATCCCCCCAGTTGTAATTTTATGACTGATATCAATATCCCCCCTGTTATAATTTTATGACTGATATCAATATCCCCCAGTTGTAATTTTATGACTGATATCAATATCCCCCAGTTGTAATTTTATGACTGATATCAATATCCCCATTATAATTTTCAGAGTGATATCAATATCTCCCTGTTATAATTTTATGACTGATATCAATATCCCCCCTGTTATAATTTTATGACTGGTATCAATATCCCCCCTGTTATAATTTTATGACTGATATCAATATCCCCATTATAATTTTCAGAGTGATATCGTGGCCAGAGATGAAATTCTGGCTTTATTTGCTGCGCATGTTGCAGCCATCAACAAAATTTACTCCGACACAAAATTTTCAACATATGAAAAAGATGCTAGTAGAGGAGGCTTCAGTTACGAGGGTGTTCACTTCCAGGTTCAGAGAACATCTGTGAGTATCTCCCCAGCTATCTCCAAATATCTCCATTTCTCAGATGTCTCTAAATATGTGTTACTGTTTCTCAGATATGTCTTAATATTTTCTCCATCTCCATTGTATGATATATTTTTATTTCTGTCACTTTCATCAAACGAATGACCAGATAGTGAGGACAATGATGTAAAAACTGGTGATGAAATCACATGACTTTTAGGCTGTTGTATAATTGCATGGTGATAAAACTCTAACAATAGACTGGCCCATGGAAGTGGAATTGGCTACACTTTGAAGGGGTAATTTCAAGGATGCACTTTGTTTAAAACCTGATGAAAGTTTTATCAGTTAAAAATTCTCTTTTAAGGTTACAAAGAATTTTTAATACTTTTGAGAAAAATAATCCCCAACCTCCACCTGTTATGGCAGCAAGGACAATGAAGTTGAAGATTAGGGGCTTAATCTGTGAAGAAGAAGAATTCTATCAAAGCTTCAATAACACGAAAAGAAAGATGTATTTTTCACTAAAGTTTTTAAACTGTTGTTTTCTTTCTGAAATTCATTTTCTCAGAATTTAAAAAAAAAAAAGAAGAAAAAGAAAATGCTTCCATTTAAAATCACAACCCTTTCAGTGCTGAACATTTCTGTTAAATTCCTTGTATTTTTCACATCCACAGATAATGACCAAGGAATCCGAGAAATGTGACAGTATCTTAGGGGCAACATCATATTGTAACCCAAACATTGATGTCAGCAACTTTCTCAATCTCAACTCTTTAGAGAATCACAACGAATTCTGTCTGGCATACGTCTTCACAGCCCGTGATTTTACCCAGGGTACACTGGGGCTGGCCTGGGTTGGATCTTACAAAAGTAGGTGATATTTTGTTTTGAATTCTCAAAATTGATAGAGTTTTGATTAGTTGTAAAGTTCTAGAATATTGATGAAATGTTTTAAAAAGAATTATTTTTGTCATTTTTTTTTAATTTCTGTAAAATCTTTAGTTCATGATAAAAGTTCCAAAATTATTTTTAAAGAAAAGAAAAAAAAAATAAAGAAAGCATTAGACAGGTATAGACTAGATTTCATAAATGTACATATTAGTCAGATATATTACGCTTCCGTTTTTTTTTAATCATAATCAGTTCAGAGAAGGACAAGGAACGAGAAAATTGACACCCCCAGAGATTTAGCTTAAGTAACATGAATATTAAAGAAACTGTTAAAAACGTAAAACTGCAGGTGTTGAATGTTGAAAAAAAAAGAAAAACAGAAAATTGTATTGAAAAGATGTTCACCTACCTTGTTTCAGATGCTGCAGGTGGTATCTGTGAGAAATATAAAGAGTTCCCTGAAGGGACAGCCAGGGTTCTCAAGTCTCTGAACACTGGTATCATCACCCTTATGAATTATGGGAGAGAAGTGGCTCCCCGTGTCTCCCATCTCACGTTTGCCCACGAAGTTGGTCACAACTTCGGGTCTCCTGTAAGTTTCACAGGGAAAAGAGTGTCTTTGTTTGGAGGGTATACTCTCTTAAGATTTTCTTATCATAATTATTTGGCAATAAGCCGATGCATGATAAGCCTGATCTCATCAGTAAAATTATTACCGAATAATGCTGTTTTATTAGCCCACCATCATCAGATGGTGGGGTATTCAAATCGCCCTGCCGTCCTTGGTCCGTCGTCCATCCGTCCGTCCGTAAACAATTCTTGTTACCGCTATTTCTGGAAAAGTACTGGATGGATCTTTCTCAAATTTCATATGCAGGTTCCCCTTTGTCCCTAGTTATGCATTGTACTTTTTTTGGACTGATTCGAATTCAAGATGGCCGACAGGCAGCCATCTTGGATTTTGGAAGTAAAAGTTTGATACTGCTATTTCTTGGAAAGTACTGGATGGATCTTTCTCAAATTTCATATGCAGTTTCAGCTTTGTCCCTAGTTGTGCATTGTACCTTTTTTGGACTGATTCGAATTCAAGATGGCCGACAGGTGGCCATCTTGGATTTTGGAAGTAAAAGTTTGTTTCCACTATTTCTGGAAAAGTACTGGATGGATCTTTCTCAAATTTCATATGCAGTTTCAGCTTGGTCCCTAGTTGTGCATTGAACCTTTTTTGGACTGATTCGAATTCAAGATGGCCGACAGGTGGCCATCTTGGATTTTGGATGTAAAAGTTTGTTACCGCTATTTCTTGGAAAGTACTGGATGGATCTTTCTCAAATTTCATATGCAGGTTCCCTTTGGTTCCAAGTTGTGCATTATACCTTTTTGGACTGATCTGAAATCAAGATGGCTGACAGGCAGCCATCTTGGATTTTGAGAGTAAAATCTTGTTACTGCTATATCTGAGGAAGTACTGGATGGATCCTTCTGATATTTCATAGATATTGGTTTCCCTTGGTCCCTAGTTGTGCATTGTACCTTTTTTGGACTGATTTGAAATCAAGGTGGCCCACAGGCAGCCATCTTGGATGTCGACAGTAATACAATACAAGCATATTGTCCATTATCCACCTGTAACTGACTGCTATCTAATAATACTTTGGAATCTTTTTCAAATGATATTTGCTAAAAGGTGCTTAATAAAAATTTCTTGTGCCATCATTGAGTACATTCAATGAAGACCAGTTCATGAACATTTACAACACCTGTAACAAACAAAAAAAAATAAACAAATCTTCAAGAACTGAAAACAGATCCTCAAATGGTGGACGCCAAGATCCCTCTGGGATCTCTTGTCTTCCTGTTCCAGCCAATAAGTCCTGCATTGATATTGAATGTATTACACCCATAGGTTTATTGGAAGACCAGGGAAATCCAGGATATAAGTGCCTTTTTAAGGGAAGATAACTCTCGCATGTCAATTTGAATAGTACATATTTTTTGCCATGATACAGAAACATATTTGATGTAACTATGGCCAGTGTTTAGGGGGAGATAACTCTTGTGAGTCGACTAGAAGTAGCTTGTTCAGCAAGATAAGAAGAAATAAGTCTTAATTGTCAGTTAAAAGCAGCAAGTAAGCTCGGACTTTGTGACCTTAGATCAGTGTTTTGTACAGCTGTCAGAAGGACACCGATTAATCATCAATATATTGTAATCCTCTCATGTATTCTCTATACACAGCATGACAGCGGTGATCATTGTGCACCGTTCGGGACGAGATCTCCTGACGCTGTCAGTGGTAACTACATCATGTATGCTAGTGCTACGCAAGGCGACCTTTCCAACAATAACAAATTCTCTGACTGTAGTAAAGACAACATTTCTCGTGTCATCAGATCCATTATAAATGAGACCAACAAGAAGAATTGTTTCAAACGTAAGTTTGACCAAGGGGATTTAATTTATCATTGTAATTAATGAAAGGGTGAAGAATTACGTTGTTCTCTGTGAGTTCAACTACAGACTTCAGAATTTCTTGTTTGCAGACTTCCTTGAAGATTAAATATTATAATATATTTGGCTTGTGGAGACGTTCACGTGTGTTATCGACTATTTTCTCCTGTATATATGTTATTGTCTATATTCACATGGATATTAATTATTATAGGTCATTTTTTCTGTAAATATTTTTTCACTAGTTTTCTTCAGTAGACAATTTATTGCCTACATTTTCTTGCAATGAGTGATTTGTTCTTGTAATAATAATATCACCATCTATTGTTATTTATGGAATTATCGCTTACTTTCTCCTGCAGAGTCTGGTGTGGCATTCTGTGGTAACGGCCTAGTAGAAGGAGACGAGGAATGTGACTGTGGATATTTAGATGACTGTCAGGATATGTGTTGTCATGCAAAAAAATCTGGAGAAACAACACCAGATGATTGTAAACTACGTAGAGACAATTCAGGTGTAAAATATGCCTGTAGGTAGGTGAAAAAAATCACTGTTAAGGCGTGAAATATGCCTGTAGGTAGGTGAAAAAATCACTTTTAAGGTGTGAAATATGCCTGTAGGTAGGTGAAAAAATCACTGTTTAGGTGTGAAATATGCCTGTAGGTAGGTGAAAAAATCACTGTTTAGGTGTGAAATATGCCTGTAGGTAGGTGAAAAAATCACTGTTTAGGTGTGAAATATGTCTATGTAATTGTGATTTCACTGTTTAGGTGTGAAATATGTCTATGTAATTGTGATTTCACTGTTCAGGTGTGAAATATATATTTTATCAAAAGTTTTTTTGATGATGGACATCACTTGAAATAATGTGAGGCTACCCATGGGGAACTCACTTTTGTAATAATGTATGCATAGCGAAATATATAATATTAATCTCTTCCACAAGACAATGCTGATCTTTAGAGTGACTGTCTGATTTTATGTTTACAGTCCAACGCAAGGTCCCTGCTGTACTCCAACCTGTAGCTTTGTTCAACAATCCGCCAACCAGACATGTCGTGTAGGAACAGAGTGTGTCAAACGTGCCATTTGCTCATATCCTTTGATTACCTCCCCTTAATAAATAGGTGGATTGATCACCTGTAACTTAGGTTGATTATTTGCCTTCATGTCTGACATGGATTATCTTCTCTATATGATCTAAATGGATTGGCTCTGTATATCACTTTAGTGAATTGTCTCCCCTTCATGACAGAAGTAGATTATCTCCCGTTCATGTTTTAGAGGAATTATCTCCAATACATGGATTACACAGTGGTTTATCTCACCTCCGTGACTAAGATGAATTATCTCCCTTGCATATCTGACATTGATTATCTCCCCTACATGATCTAGATGAATTAACTCCCTACATAATTTTAGTTTGTTATCTCCCCTTAATGACTGGTGGATTATCTCCCCTACATAATATTTCTGTGTAAAACATTCCTAAATTTACAATACATTATGTATGCTGGTTGAAGATTTCTCTATATGGAATTACAATTCAAATTGATCTTTTTTTTGATGTTTTGATAGTGTTTCTGAAATGAAAGTTTTTGGTTGATTGTAACTTTTCTCTTCGTAAATTTTCAACTTTGTATCAATATGTACACAAACAACTTATTATTACAAGTCCTTGACATGAACACTGGGGCCTCAGCTAATTGTCCTGCAGCAAACAACTATGCTGATATCATCACATTCTGTAACAGTAAATCTCGTGTTTGTAAAGCAGGGGTAAGTTCACCTACAATTATCATAGACAAAAATTCAACACTTTAAAATTTCAGCAATTGTCTTGATAATTCCTGAATTTGTTTTTTTACATCTCCATGGAATCCCCAAGCAATAGTGTGGTAAATGTGGATTATTTGCAACCTAAAACTTCACAGATATATTGGTTATCTCCCTTAGACATAGAAATTTGAACTAGAAATCATTTATCTCAACTCATAAGCTGAAAAAAAACTGTCCTTGAAAGGTAATTACTGAAGTTGTTGAAGGTGTATATGAACCATGAATTCTATGCTGGATGTTTTATTATGAATGGAAAGATATATAAATAGATAAATATATACTTTGTGAATAAAAACCTTTCTCCTCAAAGCATATGTGACTTCCGTGATCATAAATGTTATAAAATTTAGTATTTGCAAACTTTACAGAGAATAAAGAGAATTAGGAAGAAAATTATGTGATTTAAGTCAAATATCTATTAATATATCTAATTGTATTTCATGATTTAATTCTACAGGTTTGTTCAGAATCTTTGTGTAAAAGAATTGGATATAAATCGCGCAATTTTTCTGAGTATGAGGAATGTTTTGGTAGTTCTGGTATTGACAATAAGGAACAGATGTGTTACCTGTCATGCCGTAAGTAGCTATTTGTCATGTGTTAAATTGTTACTGTTGTGTCATATGTGTTTCATGCTGTAAGTAGCTATTTGTCATGTGTTAAATCGTTGCTGTCGTGTCATATGTGTTTCCTGTCATGCCGTAAGTAGCTATTTGTCATCTAGTAAATTGTTACTGTGGTGTCATATGTGTTACCTGTCATGTCATTAGTAGCTATTTGTCATGTGTTAAATCGTTACTGTCATGTCATGTGTTACCTGTCATGTCATTAGTAGCTATTTGTCATGTGTTAAATTGTTACTGTCGTGTCATATGTGTTTCCTGTCATGCCGTAACTAGCTATTTGTCATCTAGTAAATTGTTACTGTGGTGTCATATGTGTTACCTGTCATGTCATTAGTAGCTATTTGTCATGTGTTAAATCGTTACTGTCGTGTCATATGTGTTACCTGTCATGTCATTAGTAGCTATTTGTCATGTGTTAAATCGTTACTGTCATGTCATGTGTTACCTGTCATGTCATTAGTAGCTATTTGTCATGTGTTAAATCATTACTGTCGTGTCATATGTGTTACCTGTCATGTCACAAGTACTTAACCAGTCATGTTGTAAGTTGTTACTGGTCATATTGGAAATCATAGATACACACACATAAAGAAATGAAATTGATAATACACACATAAAGATATGAAATTGATAATACACACATACACACATAAAGATATGAAATTGATAATACACACATAAAGATATGAAATTGATAATACACACATACACACATAAAGAAATGAAATTGATAATACACACATAAAGATATGAAATTAATAATACACACATAGAGATATGAAATTAATAATACACACATAAAGAAATGAAATTGATAATACACACATATAGAAATTGATAATACACACATATAGAAATGAAATTGATAATACACACATACACACATAGAGAATGAAATTGATAATACACACATAGAGATATGAAATTGATAATACACACATACACACATAAAATATTGATAATACACACATACACAGAAATTGATAATACACACATACACACATAAAGATATGAAATTGATAATACACACATACACACATATACACATAGAATGAAATTGATAATACACACATATAGATATGAAATTGATAATACACACATACACACAGAGAAATGAAATTGATAATACACACATAAAGATATGAAATTGATAATGCACACATACACACATAAAGATATGAAATTGATAATACACACATATAGAAATGAAATCGATAATACACACATCAAGATATGAAATTGATAATACACACATAAAGATATGAAATTGATAATACACACATAAAGATTGAAATTGAATACACACATACACACATAAAGATATGAAATTGATAATACACACATACACACATAAAGAAATGAGATTGATAATACACACATATAGAAATGAAATTGATAATACACACATAAAGATATGAAATTGATAATGATATGATTGATAATACACACATACACACATAAAGATATGAAATTGATAATACATACACACATATAGAAATGAAATTGATAATACACACATACACACATAAAAATTTGATAATACACACATATAGAAATGAAATTGATAATACACACATACAGATATGAAATTGATAATACACACATACACACATAACACACATATGAAATTTGATAATACACACATACACACATATAAATACACACATACACACATAAATTGATAATACACACATACAGAAATGAAATTGATAATACACACATATAAATTGATAATACACACATACACACATAGAAATGAAATTGATAATACACACATACACACATAAAGATATGAAATTGATAATACACACATACACAGAAATGAAATTGATAATACACCCATACACACATATAGAAATGAAATTGATAATACACCCATACACACATATAGAAATGAAATATGATAATACACCCATACACACATATAGAAATGAAATTGATAATACACACATATAGAAATGAAATTGATACACATACACACATATAGAAATGAAATTGATAATACACACATACACATACACACATATAGAAATGAAATTGATAATACACACATACACACATAAAGATGAAATTGATAATACACACATACACACACATATAGAAATGAAATTGATAATACACACATACACACATATAGAAATGAAATTGATAATACACACATACACACATAGAAATGAAATTGATAATACACACATACATAAATTGATAATACACACATACACACATAAAGAAATTTGATAATACACACATATAGAAATGAAATTGATACACACATACACACATATAGAAATGAAATTGATAATACACACATATAGAAATGAAATTGATAATACACACATACACATACACAGAAATGAAATTGATAATACACACATATAGATATGAAATTGATAATACACACATACACACATAGAAATGAAATTGATAATACACACATACACACATATAAATTACACACATAATACACACATACACACATATAGAAATATAATACACACATACATAGAAATGAAATTGATAATACACACATATAGAAATGAAATTGACACACATAAATTGACACATACACACATAAATAAATTGATAATACACACATTGAATACACACATACACACATACACACATAAAATTGAAATACACACATATAGAAATGAAATTGATAATACACACATACACACATATAATGAAATTGATAATACACACATACACACACATATAGAAATGAAATTGATAATACACACATACACACATAGAAATGAAATTGATAATACACACATACACACATAAAGATAATGAAATTGATAATACACACATACACACATACACACACACTCATATACACTATAGAAATAAAATTGACAATACACACATATAGAAATGAAATTGATAATACACACATACACACATACACACATAAAGAAATGAAATTGATAATACACACATATCGAAATAAAATTGATAATACACACATATAGAAATGAAATTGATAATACACACATACACACATATAAACATTGAAACATAAACATTGATAATACACACATACACACACATATATGAAATTGATAATACACACATACACACATATAGAAATGAAATTGATAATACACACATACAGAAAAATTGATACACACATACACACATATAGAAATGAAATTGATAATACACACATATAGACACATAAAAATTGATAATACATACACACATAAAGATAAAATTGATAATACACACATACACACATAAAGATAATGAAATTGATAATACACACATACACACATATAGAAATGAAATTGATAATACACACATACACACATATAGAAATGAAATTGATAATACACACATACACACAATAGAAATGAAATTGATAATACACACATACACACATAAGAAATAAAATTGATAATACACACATACACACATAGAAATGAAATTGATAATACACACATATAGAAATGAAATTGATAATACACACATAAAGAAATGAAATTGATAATACACACATAGAGATATGAAATTGATAATACACACATATGGAAATGAAATTGATAATACACACATATAGAAATAAAATTGATAATACACACATATAGAAATAAAATTGATAATACACACATACACACATATAGAAATAAAATAGATAATACACACATACACACATATATAAATTGATAATACACACATACACACATATAGAAATAAAACACATTGATAATACACACACACACACACATATAGAATAAATTGATAATACACACATACACACATATAGAAATGAAAATTGATAATACACACATATAGAAATGAAATTGATAATACACACATACACACATAGAAATGAAATTGATAATACACACATACACACATATAGAAATGAAATTGAACATACACACATATAGATAAATTGATAATACACACACATATAGAAATGAAATTGATAATACACACATATGATATGAAATTGACACACATATAGAAATGAAATTGATAATACACACATATAGAAATGAAATTGATAATACACACATAAAGATATGAAATTGATAATACACACATACACACATAAATAAATTGATAATACACACATACACACATATGAAATAATACACACATATAGAAATGAAATTGATAATATAGAAATGAAATTGATAATACACACATACACACATATAGAAATGAAATTGATAATACACACATACACATATAAAAAATTAATAAATACACACATATGAAATAAATTGATACACACATATAGAAATGAAATTGATAATACACACATACACACATATAGAAATTGATAATACACACATATAGAAATAAAATTGATAATACACACATATAGAAATGAAATTGATAATACACACATATAGAAATGAAATTGATAATACACACATATAGAAATAAACACAATTGAAATTGATAATACACACATATAGAAATGAAATTGATAATACACACATACACACATATAGAAATAAATTGATAATACACACATATAGAAATGAAATTGATAATACACACATATAGACAATGAAATTGAAATTGATAATACACACATACACACATATAGAAATAAAATTGATAATACACACATATAGAAATGAAATTGATAATACACACATACACATAGAAATGAAATTGATAATACACACATATAGAAATAAAATACACACATAATGATAATACACACATATAGAAATAAAATTGATAATACACACATACACACATATAGAAATAAAATTGATAATACACACATATAGAAATAAAATTGATAATACACACATATAGAAATGAAATTGATAATACACACATACACACATATAGAAATAAAATTGATAATACACACATACACACATATAGAAATAAAATTGATAATACACACATACACACATAGAAATAAAATTGATAATACACACATATAGAAATGAAATTGATAATACACACATATAGAAATGAAATTGATAATACACACATACACACATAGAGATATGAAATTAATAATACACACATACACACATATAGAAATGAAATTGATAATACACACATACACACATATAGAAATAAAATTGATAATACACACATATAGAAATAAAATTGATAATACACACATATGGAAATGAAATTGATAATACACACATACACAGAAATGAAATTGATAATACACACATATGGAAATGAAATTGATAATACACACATATAGAAATAAAATACACACATACACACATATAGAAATAAAATTGATAATACACACATACACACATATAGATATAAAATTGATAATACACACATATAGAAATAAAATTGATAATACACACATACACACATATAGAAATAAAATTGATAATACACACATATAGAAATAAAATTGATAATACACACATACACACATATAGAAATGAAATTGATAATACACCCATACACACATATAGAAATGAAATTGATAATACACACATATAGAAATGAAATTGATAATACACACATACACACATATAGAAATAAAATTGATAATACACACATATAGAAATAAAATTGATAATACACACATACACACATATAGAAATGAAATTGATAATACACACATACACACATACACACATATAGAAATACACACAAATTGATAATACACACATATAGAAATGAAATTGATAATACACACATATAGAAATAAATTGATAATACACACATACACACATAGATAAAATTGATAATACACACATATAGAAATGAAATTGATAATACACACATACACACATATAGAAATAAAATTGATAATACACACATACACACATATAGATATAAAATTGATAATACACACATATAGAAATAAAATTGATAATACACACATACACACATAAAGAAATGAAATTGATAATACACACATAGAGGTATGATATTGATAATACACACATATAGAAATAAAATTGATAATACACACATATAGAAATGAAATTGATAATACACACATACACACATGAAATAAATTGACACACATACACACATATAGAAATAAAATTGATAATACACACATATAGAAATGAAATTGATAATACACACATACACACATATAGAAATAAAATTGATAATACACACATATAGACATATAGAAATTGATAATACACACATACACACATATAGAAATAAAATTGATAATACACACATACACACATATAGATATAAAATTGATAATACACACATATAGAAATAAAATTGATAATACACACATATAGAAATAAAATTGATAATACACACATACACACATATAGATATAAAATTGATAATACACACATACACACATATAGAAATAAAATTGATAATACACACATACACACATATAGAAATGAAATTGATAATACACACATATAGAAATAAAATTGATAATACACACATATAGAAATAAAATTGATAATACACACATATGGAAATGAAATTGATAATACACACATACACACATATAGAAATAAAAGATATGATAATACACACATATAGAAATAAAATTGATAATACACACATATACAAATAAAATTGATAATACACACATACACACAATAGAAATTGATAATACACACATATACACATATAAATTGATAATACACACATACACATATAAAATTGATAATACACACATAAAGAAATGAAATTGATAATACACACATATAGAAATGAAATTGATAATACACACATATAGAAATGAAATTGATACACATACACACATATAGAAATGAAATTGATAATACACACATATAGACACATATAGAAATTGATAATACACACATATAGAAATGAAATTGATAATACACACATACACACATATAAATGAAATTGATAATACACACATATAGAAATGAAATTGATACACACATACACACATGATAAAATTGATAATACACACATATAGAAATAAAATAATACACACATACACACATATAGAAATGAAATTGATAATACACACATACACATATAGAAATAAATTGATAATACACACATATAGAAATGAAATTGATAATACACACATACACACATATACACACATATGATAAAATGAAAATTGACACATACACACATATAGAAATGAAATTGATAATACACACATATAGAAATGAAATTGATAATACACACATACACACATATAGAAATTTGATAATACACACATACACACATATAGAAATTGATAATACACACATATAGAAATGAAATTGATAATACACACATACACACATATAGAAATGAAATTGATAATACACACATAACACATATAGAAATGAAATTGATAATACACACATAAAGAAATGAAATTGATAATACACACATATAGAAATGAAATTGATAATACACACATACACACATAGAAATTGAAATTGACAATACACACATATAGATATGAAATTGATAATACACACACATATAGAAATACAATTGATAATACACACATACACAATACACACATATAAAATAAAAATTGATAATACACACATACACACATACAGAAATGAAATTGATAATACACACATACACACATATAGAAATGAAATTGATAATACACACATACACACATAAAGAAATAAATTGATAATACACACATAAAGAAATAAATTGATAATACACACATACACACACACACATATAGAAATGAAATTGATAATACACACATACACACAAATTGATAATACACACATACACACATAAAGAAATGAAATTGATAATACACACATAAAGATAAATTGATAATACACACATACAGAGATAATGAACATTGATAAATACACACATACAACATATGAAATTACACACACATAAAGATATGAAATTGATAATACACACATAAAGATATGAAATTGATAATACACACATAAAGATATGATATTGATAATACACACATAGAGATATGAAATTGATAATACAGACATACACACGGAGAAATGAAATTGATAATACACACATAAAGAAATGAAATTGATAATACACACATAGAGATATGAAATTGATAATACACACATAAAGATATGAAATTGATAATACACACATAAAGATATGAAATTGATAATACACACATAAAGATATGAAATTGATAATACACACATAGAGATATGAAATTGATAATACACACATAAAGATATGAAATTGATAATACACACATAAAGATATGAAATTGATAATACACACATAAAGATATGAAATTGATAATACACACATAAAGATATGAAATTGATAATACACACATAAAGATATGAAATTGATAATACACACATAAAGATATGAAATTGATAATACACACATAAAGATATGAAAATGATAGGATGAAACATATACAGTAATTGATAGGATGAAACATATACAGTAAAAAGAAAGCTCAGCCATTAACAGCTTCTCTGAAATCTACATTCATGTTAAATCCTGAATCTGTTTGAACCATGAAGTTTAATCCATTATAAATTAACACTGATTGATTTTTTTTTGTTTTTTTTGTTTCAGAGAAAAGAAACACTACCAACTGTATAAGCTCAGCACAGATTAACGCTGATTCACCTTATACAGATTTCAAAGCTTTACTTAATGATGTTAATGGCGAGTTAACAAAAATTAAATTACAAGCAGGTAAGTCTTCTCTATTCCCAAACCGATGTCACCAAGGCTTTGAGTCCGGTAAAGATTTTTTATGGTGGCCTACGCCAATGATATATACTTACTGCCATTGTGTTTGTTTTCAATCCAAAGAAAATTATATACGATATATTATATATATGTTATATAAGCTGTTGACTTTTTAAAATCAGACAACATCTTATTACATTTGATTTTTAATTCTTTAACAGAATCCTGCATGTTAAACTTCTGGATTAACGGGAAAGAAAAGAAATATAAAAGGTTCCAAAATCAATACTCATTCAAAATTTTTAGGTCGCCATTTTATCCGCCATCGGCGTCATAAACTTTTAACATTTTAGACTTCTGGAAAACTCCTGAACCCATTTCAACGAAATGGCTAAAGGCACACTTAAGTTTTAAATTATATGGTCTCCAAACCCCGATGGGGAATGGCCAAAAAGAGTCAAATTGATTGAAACTTCAAAAATATTCTCCTCAAATACCAGGTATGATAGAATCAAATACTCTGTATTGATGGAAAGGCCTTCAGAGGCATAACAAAATTGGCAAATTCATGACCCCAGGATCTCACCTTTCCACCTGGGGAGGGGGTAAAGTTTCCCATAGTTTATATAGGAAAATTACATTTTTGAACATAATTTGTTTATTTTCAATTGGAAAAAGTTCAGAATTGCTTAGAATTATCATTATAGGATGACAGTTTAAAGAAATGCACTTATTGACATCAACTGACTCCCAGTGGCTGATGGGCTGGCCCAAAAATGGGTCAAATTGACTGGCATTTCAAAAATTCCTCTTCTCAATACCTAAATAATGCAGGACCAAATACTCTTAGGGATGGAGGTGTCTTACGAAGCATTACTAAAATTGTAAATTTCATGACCCTAGGGTCTCACCTTTCCCCTTGAAAAGGGGGTAAAGTTTACTATAGTTTCATGACCCTAGGGTCTCACCTTTCCCCTTGAAAAGGGGGTAAAGTTTACTATAGTTTCATGACCCTAGGGTCTCACCTTTCCCCTTGAGGAGTGGATAAAGTTTACTATAGTTTCATGACCCTAGGGTCTCACCTTTCCCCTTGAAAAGGGGGTAAAGTTTACTATAGTTTCATGACCCTAGGGTCTCACCTTTCCCCTTGAAAAGGGGGTAAAGTTTACTATAGTTTCATGACACTAGGGTCTCACCTTTCCCCTTGAGGAGTGGATAAAGTTTACTTTAGTTACATGACCCTAGGGTCTCACCTTTCCCCTTGAGGAATGGATAAAGTTTACTTTAGTTACATGACCCTAGGGTCTCACCTTTCCCCTTGAAAAGGGGGTAAAGTTTACTTTAGTTACATGACCCTAGGGTCTCACCTTTCCCCTTAAGGAGTGGATAAAGTTTACTTTAGTTACCTGACCCTAGGGTCTCACCTTTCCCCTTGAAAAGGGGGTAAAGTTTACTTTAGTTTCATGACCCTAGGGTCTCACCTTTCCCCTTGAAAAGGGGATAAAGTTTACTATAGTTACATGACCCTAGGGTCTCACCTTTCCCCTTGAGGAGTGGATAAAGTTTACTTTAGTTACATGACCCTAGGGTCTCACCTTTCCCCTTGAGGAATGGATAAAGTTTACTTTAGTTACATGACCCTAGGGTCTCACCTTTCCCCTTGAAAAGGGGGTAAAGTTTACTATAGTTTCATGACCCTAGGGTCTCACCTTTCCCCTTGAAAAGGGGGTAAAGTTTACTTTAGTTACATGACCCTAGGGTCTCACCTTTCCCCTTGAGGAATGGATAAAGTTTACTTTAGTTACATGACCCTAGGGTCTCACCTTTCCCCTTGAAAAGGGGGTAAAGTTTACTTTAGTTACATGACCCTAGGGTCTCACCTTTCCCTTTGAGGAGGGGATAAAGTTTACTATAGTTACATGACCCTAGGGTCTCACCTTTCCCTTTGAGGAGGGGGTAAAGTTTACTATAGTTACATGACCCTAGGGTCTCACCTTTCCCTTTGAGGAGGGGGTAAAGTTTACTATAGTTACATGACCCTAGGGTCTCACCTTTCCCTTTGAGGAGGGGGTAAAGTTTACTATAGTTACATGACCCTAGGGTCTCACCTTTCCCTTTGAGGAGGGGGTAAAGTTTACTATAGTTACATGACCCTAGGGTCTCACCTTTCCCTTTGAGGAGGGGGTAAAGTTTACTATAGTTACATGACCCTAGGGTCTCACCTTTCCCTTTGAGGAGGGGGTAAAGTTTACTTTAGTTTATGTTGGAAAATTTCATTTTGAGCGTAATTTGTTTATGTTTTTAGTAGAAGATAACATTTTGATGAGATGTACATATTGACCTCAGCTAACCCCCAGGGGTTGATGGGCCCAAAAATTAGTCAAGTTGACTGAAATTTTCGAAGATGTTCTGTTCTTCATGGCGGAAGATTTTATATAGGAAAAATTTTTGAGTTTAATTTCTTTTAGTTAAAACTTGGTTAGAAGCCTTAATATGAGACATCAGTTGAATCTATGCACAGTTTAAATTTGTATTATGTGTACAATGTAGTTAAAGTTATCTTATACTTTTTTAACAAAATCATTTCTGTGGCATGTTACTAGAAACATTGTAACTCAGGTGATCATTAAGGCCCCTGAGGCCTCTTGTTGACTATCTGATCTAGAACAATAAATTTATTGATGTTCATATATTTCCAGGGTCACCGTGTGATAATTATCGAGGTTACTGTGACGTGTTCCATAAATGTCGCGGAATAGATAACGATGGTCCGCTCGCTCGTCTTAAAAATCTCATTTTTAATGAGAAAACATTACAAAAGATTAAAACTTGGATTGTGGTGAGTACAAAAGATTAAAACTTGGATTGTGGTGAGTACAAGAGATTAAAACTTGGATTGTGGTGAGTACAAAAGATTAAAACATGGATTGTGGTGGGTACAAAGATTAAAACTTGGATTGTGGTGGGTACAAGAGATTAAAACTTGGATTGTGGTGAGTACAAGAGATTAAAACTTGGATTGTGGTGGGTACAAAGATTAAAACTTGGATTGTGGTGGGTACAAGAGATTAAAACTTGGATTGTGGTGGGTACAAGAGATTAAAACTTGGATTGTGGTGAGTACAAGAGATTAAAACTTGGATTGTGGTGAGTACAAGAGATTAAAACTTGGATTGTGGTGGGTACAAAGATTAAAACTTGGATTGTGGTGGGTACAAAGATTAAAACTTGGATTGTGGTGAGTACAAGAGATTAAAACTTGGATTGTGGTGAGTACAAGAGATTAAAACTTGGATTGTGGTGAGTACAAGAGATTAAAACTTGGATTGTGGTGAGTACAAGAGATTAAAACTTGGATTGTGGTGGGTACAAAGATTAAAACTTGGATTGTGGTGGGTACAAAGATTAAAACTTTTATTGTGGTGGGTACAAGAGATTAAAACTTGGATTGTGGTGAGTACAAGAGATTAAAACTTGGATTGTGGTGAGTACAAAGATTAAAACTTGGATTGTGGTGAGTACAAAGATTAAAACTTGGATTACAGCTTTACTACAAATATTGTAATTTATAAAAAAATTTCCAGAAATATCGGTGGGTTGTTATGATGATGGCAGTCTGTCTTGTTGTCCTGATGTGTTAGTTGATACAGATTTGCACGGTTCACACAACCAGTTATATAATTCATGCAATTTTGTTCCAGGAATATTGGTGGGCGGTTATGATGATGGCACTCTGTCTTGTTGTCTTGATGGGTTTGTTTATAAAGATCTGTGCTGTACACACACCCAGTAGTAATCCAAAGGCAAAACCAGCTTTACGTATCACAGACACACTCCGGCGCCGACGTCGTCCTCCACCGCAGCAGACATACGCCCCGAGCTCACAGCCTCTACAGTCCTACCAGCAGCAGCAGTCTGTACCAGCTGGTTATATAAATGTAAGTGTGCTTTTATTTAGGAAAGTTATACCTAGAAAGTCGTGTGTTTGGTTTTAGTGAAGATCGTCATAATAAAACACGAAATAGTTGATATGTGTAACAAATACATAAGTGTTGCTTTACGTTTATTTATCCAGGCATACATAAAAATCTAATGTTCAATATTTTGGTACAAACAATATTTACATGGCTGATATTTCACAATCGTTGCAGTTACGACTAGTTTTAGGCGATTTTCTATCAGTCTTTTATTAGCAGCTGGGTATTTTAGCTTTGCATCATTGTTAATCACAGGGAAGGAAGCTTTAATCCACCATGTATAAAGAAATTTCCAAAACCGATTTAAAGACTAAAGGATGACATTATTACACACAAGTTTTATTGTTTTCTGTAGAGATTCTTTGTGAAAAGATTTAGGAATGTAAGTTTTTCCCAAACATATCTTATACATGTTTATATATGAAAATAAATATCAAACGAATGACTAGCTTCTAAATCATAATCCATAGTGAATGTAAATTTATTAAACTTTAGTAAAGTATAGTGCATTTTAGTACAATATAGAACCTATTTTGTGTACACAATCAACAATAGTCTTATCTATATATCACTTTAATTATATCCAACCATTTTTCTTAATTTTACATTCTGTTTAGAAGTATATAGCTGTTAGAAATACATATACTTACCAATTTCTTACTGTAAATTACTGAAGGTGTATGTATAACATCATATCAAGGTTAATGCGTTAGGAGCAAATTCATTAGGAGTTAATTCTTATTTCATAAACAAAAATGTAAGTGTTTGATCAGTTTCATTTTGATGTTTCTGCTAAAAAAAACAGGAAATAATTATAAAAAACATTATTTATTTCAAATAATGAAAACCTGATAAATATACATGTATATATTTTCCATTGTAATTATAACGAGGAAATATGAATAGTTTAATATTTGTTTCATCGTATTAGACCAGATTATTTCTCATTCTTTATTTTCTTGTCCTCACCATTTTAAGGGGAGGAGGACACTCATAAAGTATTACTCATGTTCATCCGTCAGTCCATCTGTCTGGTTGCATCCAGTCACATGACATCTGTACACATCAATTTCAACTCCAGTGTAATATCTTTAGAACTTCATGACTGATTTGGTTCATGTAGCCCTGGTAAAATACTAGCTGTAATATACCACTCGGCTAGAGAGAACTTCTCTTTAGCTCTGTAACCCTGGTAAAATACTAGCTGTAATATACCACTCGGCTAGAGAGAACTTCTCTTTAGCTCTGTAACCCTGGTAAAATACTAGCTGTAATATACCACTCGGCTAGAGAGAACTTCTCTTTAGCTCGGTAGATACTAGAATATACCACTCGGCTCTTCTCTTTAGCTCTGTAACCCTGGTAAAATACTAGCTGTAATATACCACTCGGCTAGAGAGAACTTCTCTTTAGCTCTGTAACCCTGGTAAAATACTAGCTGTAATATACCACTCGGCTAGAGAGAACTTCTCTTTAGCTCTGTAACCCTGGTAAAATACTAGCTGTAATATACCACTCGGCTAGAGAGAACTTCTCTTTAGCTCTGTAACCCTGGTAAAATACTAGCTGTAATATACCACTCGGCTAGAGAGAACTTCTCTTTAGAGAGAACTTCTCTTCTGTAACCCTGGTAAAATACTAGCTGTAATATACCACTCGGCTAGAGAGAACTTCTCTTTATTTCTGTAGCCCTGGTAAAATACTAGCTGTAATATACCACTCGGCTAGAGAGAACTTCTCTTTAGCTTGGTAAAATACTAGCTGTAATATACCACTCGGCTAGAGAGAACTTCTCTTTAGCTCTGTAACCCTGGTAAAATACTAGCTGTAATATACCACTCGGCTAGAGAGAACTTCTCTTTATTTCTGTAGCCCTGGTAAAATACTAGCTGTAATATACCACTCGGCTAGAGAGAACTTCTCTTTAGCTCTGTAACCCTGGTAAAATACTAGCTGTAATATACCACTCGGCTAGAGAGAACTTCTCTTTAGCTCTGTAACCCTGGTAAAATACTAGCTGTAATATACCACTCGGCTAGAGAGAACTTCTCTTTAGCTCTGTAACCCTGGTAAAATACTAGCTGTAATATACCACTCGGCTAGAGAGAACTTCTCTGTAACCCTGGTAAAATACTAGCTGTAATATACTCGGCTAGAGAGAACTTCTCTTTAGGTAAAAAATACTAGCTGTAATATACCACTCGGCTAGAGAGAACTTCTCTTTAGCTCTGTAACCCGGGTAAAATACTAGCTGTAATATACCACTCGGCTAGAGAGAACTTCTCTTTAGCTCTGTAACCCTGGTAAAATACTAGCTGTAATATACCACTCGGCTAGAGAGAACTTCTCTTTAGCTCGATTGGTTGAGCATCAGACTAGTAAGCCAGGGGTCCCAGGTTTGATTCCTAGCAGAGGCATTGAAATAAATAATGAATTCCGTTACAGTCCTATTTATTTTAGTATCATAACATCAATTTGTACAAATACTGATAAAAGGGTTGTGGAGGTTAAAGGTCAAAAGGTCACTTCAAACAAATTAAGATAATTCATCAGACAAAGATATTTATTGATGTAGGACCACTCATGTCTTGATGACATTTGCTGGTTTTTCATTAATTTTGAATGGATGTAACAGAAATAATTATTCTAGGTTTAATATCAAAATACTGTAGAATTTGAAAAGAAAGATAAATTGTATGAGCACATCACAGAAGTTGGACATCAGACAAAGTTTCCTTATTTGGGCCTGTGTTCTTGTTTTCTGAATCTTGTGACTTTTGTGCCTGCAAACTTTTGTTGTTTTTTTATTGGAGTTTGGAGTATGCTGTTATTTATGTTAAAATCTCTCTTTGATATCATTAGTTGCTTCGACTGATTTTGATATTTTTTTTATTAAAACAGAAAAAGTCTTGTCATCATTCCTGCATGTTTGTGTTGAGATTTACAACAAAATACTATCTTAAAATAACAACAAACAAATTGCATGTCTCACAAATTTCTCATAATAACAGTTTGTGAAGTATTGTAATATAAGCTTCATAATATGATATAGATTATAGAATGTAGAATGAGAAACAAACATTTTATTTGGATTTATCTGTGTAATTTCAAAAAAACAGGAGAGGCTTAATGTAAAGTAATAAGTAAGTTTTTAATTTAGGACACTTGGATCATTAAACGAGGTTATTTATAAATAACGGGATCATTATAATGAGATTATTTATAGATAATAGAATCATTATAACAAGGTTAATTATAAATAATAACATCATTATAACGAGGTTATTTATAGATAATACGATCATTATAACGAGATTATTTATAGATAATAGAATCATTATAACGAGGTTATTTATAGATAATAGGATCATTATAACGAGGTTATTTATAGATAATAGAATCATTATAACGAGGTTATTTATAGATAATACGATCATTATAACAAGATTATTTATAGATAATAGGATCATTATAACGAGGTTATTTATAGATAATAGAATCATTATAACGAGATTATTTATAGATAATAGAATCATTATAACGAGGTTATTTATAGATAATACGATCATTATAACAAGATTATTTATAGATAATAGAATCATTATAACGAGGTTATTTATAGATAATAGAATCATTATAACGAGGTTATTTATAGATAATAACTCAAGGAAACCTGATGATTTTGTAATCATTTTCAGAATGCGATGAAAACAGACCAATTATAGATATTGTAAGCATGTATATAATTTATAAATTATTTTCCATGCATGCCAGTCTCTGTTCTGTCCCTTTGGATCTCTGTGCCTTTTTCCCTCCCACATCAGTTTATGCTTTTTAACCAAATCTTGATATCCTAGTTTTCATAGCATGTTTAAAGTTATTTCTTTGTAAATTGCTAGGTTGAAGCTCTGTTTTTCCTTCATGTGTAAAATATCAACCATTTCATAAAAAAAAGGATGTTTTCCAGTCATTTTTAGGCTGAACATAACATAGTAGCTCTGTTTTTCCTTCATGTGTAAAATATCAACCATTTCATAAAAAAAAGGATGTTTTCCAGTCATTTTTAGGCTGAACATAACATAGTTACCATTTCAGCCTGTATAACTTCTAGAACTAGCCATTACAACAATCCTAGCCTTCTCATTGGTGGAAATTTTCCAGCTGATCATCCATCACTCGTCACACCTGGTGGCAGTCATATGCCATCTTTCAAAGTGATGTCATGCATGCATACTCTCGTTAAGAGGTTTGATAATAAAAACATTTATACAGGATGGGACAAAGAAATTCCTTTTTAATCTTCGTATGAAAAGTCTACCTCTGTAATTTAACAGTGCTGTCCATCTGTATATCTGTCCTTGTGGCCGTCCACTCATCTGGTTTTTCACGTCATATTGAAGCCTAATCCTGACCAGAAGATATCACTCAACCCAAACCTCACTCCTGTGGATTAGAAGGATTTTTATACTTTGTTAGAATTTGTATTTTCTGTATTTTTCATATTTTTATACAAAAATTAAATTTACTTTATTTGAGTACTTGACTGAAACTGTGGATGTCCTAGTTAAAAAAAATCAGCTATATGTAGTGACTGGGTAAGATCAGGTGACCAGAATCATACTGTGAGTACAAAAGAATGCCCCCCTCCCCGGGAGTGATTAGAACCATGCCATGTATGTATAAATGGTTTGCCCATTGGTCAGACTGGAGTCATCAGAATGCAGGCCGAGTGAAATAAAGAAATTACAGTCTAACCTGTCATAACGGCTACCTTAGTTAGATGACCACCTGCTTACAACGGCCATTTTCAAACCCTCCCAATCATTTTTGCTCATTAATGATACCTAATTTAACGGCCACCTGTCTAATGCGGCCAGCGGCCACCCTTTTCGTCCCCAAACTTGCGATCGAACCTCGTTTAAATGGCCGTTTTGACCACAAATTATTTTATAAGCTTTCTTGACTGCGAGTCACGTTTTCTCGCCACGTGAACATTCCTACAAAGAAAACAGCTGATGGCAAGTAAACACAATTCACCATGCATTTTATATTGAGTTTGATTTCATTTACGTCACTGGTATACACAATACTATCACTATTGTGGCAAATAACTTCGAAATATGAGCAGCAAACGAAAAACTTTAACTCTTGAAGATAGGGCTCCGTACCGGCACTCGATATGTATCGAAAACCGGTATTTTACGTTTGATAGATACATCAGATTGAAAGTTTCTGTATCGAACAAAAAATATTGATCATTAAGAGAGAATAAATGTACTGTCGAAAAATACCACATTTAGTTAGTTTTTGTCGATCAAATTTCATTGCAAATGTTTTCACCTCATAAAATCATCATTTCGCTAGAATAGAGAGCAGCTACCCGTGACCTGAGGTCATGAATATTAATGAGGAGTAGAGTAAAACCCAGAAACATTCCTGTCAACAGGTAACTAGGATGAGAAATTTTATAAAGAAATATTTTAATGGATAGAAAGCAAAAACAACGCAGGGGTTCGTTTTCGAAGGTTGTAAGAACAATAAATACAAAACTAGAGCGCTTTCGCTCTGCCACCATTTTCGTGCGACGTTATTATAAAGTTCCCGCCCACTCTAGATACTAGTCTTTACTGGATGTCGTTTAGACATGGTATCGAGTGTGTGATTGAAAATGCAGGCAGATTAAAAATGAATAATTTATGTTTACGTTTTCTTGGTCGTAAATGTAATATATTCAAACAAATATTAACAATTATTGGGAATAATGTTGCATTAACAAACTAAACCATGAAGAAAATGTTTTGACTTGAATCATCTGCGAAATTACAGGTAGAACATTACGGTTGTTCGATTAACTTGGGTACAAAAATAAGGAACCTCAATTAAGAGGCCACCTCTCTATAAAGGCCACTTTCATAATTTCCCATCAGTGGCCGTTTAATACAGGTTAGACTGTAGTCTTTTATTGATTTTATTTATCAAGACAAGAAGTCAAGTTAAAATGACACGAATTCAGGGAATATTTGTGGTTCCTACATCACTTTTTACAATGCATGTGCATGTCTAGACTTTGTAAAATGTAGGTGTTTATTTTCCATCTTTGAATATCATCCTCTTCCTGAATATAAGGATAAGACTTTATTTAATTTTGATATTTACTGAAAAAATAAACACACATAACCTCAACAGGAACAAAACTTTTTTGAGGGATTTTTGTCTGTAGAAATTTAGATTCTGCTTTAACAACATATGATGCATCTAAAATTTATTGAAAACATTTGTTTTGTCAGGCTCTGCATTCACAATTTACTGCCATTTTCTGCAAATGTTAGCTTTTCTTAATAGAGCAAATTTTTGCTTTTAACTCTTACATTGTAATTAACAGCTTCAATGATTAATTTAATTATAAAAGAAATATTTTTATTGATTGATCAATTTGAATATTGATTTGTAATGTTAAAATCAATTTTTTATGTTTTTAATCAGAAATATGCAATTAACATTTATCTTAATAATATTTTTTGAAGAATAAAATTGAAAAGATTGAACAATTCTGTAGCATGCAGATACTACATATGGAGGATGCAGACTATTCAGTAATCATAATGAATAAAAGTTCATGATAATGAATATTCATAAAATGACATGAAAATTAATATTTGTGAGAAATAAAGAAAAAGCATATTCATTAATGATGATGAATATAATCAATATTCATTAAGGAATATTCATGTAGCATAGAAAAAATGTCTTTTTCTTGAAAATACCAAATTATTCATAAATATAAATTTAGGATATCAATTCAAATTTACACCACAAATGATCATGCATGTTGCTACCCAGATGAAGTCAGTGCATGTCTTTAGATTTTAGGACTACATTTGGTTAGCATAAACCAATGATACCAACAGATATTTAGTATGACCAAAGACAGCATGACTGTGGCTTGTTGTCTTTTTTATTCAAATCGCCTTGCGTCCGTGGTCCGTGATCCGTCCGTCCGTCCATCCGTAAACAATTCTTGTTACCGCTATTTCTGGTTCCCCTTAGTCCCTAGTTGTGCATTGTACCTTTTTTGAACTGATTCGCATTCAAGATGGCCGACAGGTGGCCATCTTGGATTTTGGAAGTAAAAGTTTGTTACCGCTATTTCTGGAAAAGTACTGGATGGATATTTCTCAAATTTCATATGCAGGTTCCCCTTGGTCCCTAGTTGTGCATTGTACCTTTTTTGGACTGATTCGAATTCAAGATGGCCGACAGGTGGTCATCTTGGATTTTGGAAGTAAAAGTTTGTTACCGCTATTTCTGAGAAAGTACTCAATGGATCTTCCTCAAATTTCATATGCAGTTTGCATTTTACCTTTTTTGGACTTGGATGGCCGACAGGCAACCATCTTGGATTTTGGAAGTAAAAGTTTGTTACTGCTATTTCTTGGAAAGTACTTTTTTCTCAAATTTCATATGCAGTTTCCCCTTAGTCCCTAGTTGTGCATTGTACCTTTTTTGGACTGATTCAAATTCAAGATGGCCGACAGGTGGCCATCTTTGATTTTGGATGTAAAAGTTTGTTACTGCTATTTCTTGGAAAGTGCTGGATGGATCTTTCTCAAATTCCATATGCAGTTTCCCCTTGGTCCCTAGTTGTGCATTGTTCTTTTTTTGGACAGATTCGAATTCAAGATGGCGGACAAGTGGCCATCTTGGATTTTGGATGTAAAAGTTTGTTACCGCTATTTCTTGGAAAGTACTGGATGGATCTTTCTCAAATTTCATATGCAGGTTCCCCTTGGTCCCTAGTTGTGCACTGTACCTTTTTTTTTAATTTCTATCATAATTCCTAAATACAGATACAATTACTAGTTATGGTACATTTGATTTATTTTGACAGTCATGTGAGAATCCACAACTCCACTAGGTTTTTAAATGGATCCAAAATACAAAAAAAAGCGAAATCTTGATGTTTCCTTTCTTGAAGTTTTTAGAATTTATATCTGTTTTAATAGATATCTGTTTTCCTCTTGACAGGCCCCCCAGGGACCCCCTCCACCATACTCAGCAACAGGGGGTGGTCCAAAGAGGGGACATCGACCAGAGGAAAAGAAAAACCAAAAAAAGGGCAAAACCACAGAGAGAAAAGTGTGACCTTCATGATAACCATAACAACCATTCTTAGAAGACTTACCATTGGCTAATTTAGAAACTTGTAACAGTATTTCTCAATTGCTGATTGACTGCAGAGATATGTGACATTGATTTTGATTGGTTGATGAAGAATTTTTAACTTAACATTTTCATTGGCTGAAATTGAAATGAAAAACATGGTTTTGATTGGCAGAGACCATTCAAAGCAGTGATTGTGATTGGTTGATGAAGAAGTTTGTAACAAGTTTTTTCATTGGTTGATGAAGAAAACTTGTTCTTTGTATTTAAGATGTAACATGTAATTTGATTCACTGATGTCAAAGATGGTATCATCATTTGGGATATTTTTATGAGATGGTTGTGTCTGATAAAGTAAATAAATCTGAAAACAATTTCTTGATAAATATGCCTTTATAATCTTGTTAAGATGTCATTCTAAGAACCAATTTTATCTGATAATTAGCCCATGTCTCATGATAAACCCACTCAATTCTATTGAAGTTTTATAAAGATTCAAACAAATGTTTCACAATTGTCCTATGATAAGCCCGCCCCTTAAGAGTTTATATGTTAGGAGATTGCAGGATGAATAATTTTGGCAGACAGGTCAAAAATAGCATTAATTTTACTTTCTATTTTATATGCAATGCAAGAACCATTAAATTTTCTGTTTGTACAGAAATTAAGATTGAATAAAAAGTCAATTATCTTGATTTTGCATTTAAAATATTTAGATTGTGACCATACAAAAATATCTCAAATGATGGTACAGTGTATTTTTTGAGGAACATTTAAGATGGATGTGACATGATTATTTTGAGAGAGTGACTGGGTAGTAATTTTACAAAGACTTTTAGCTTAAGGTGTTTTGCTACCTTACTTTAACAAGTACATCATTACAGAAGAGTTCCATAAACTTGTGAAATAAAATTTTTAAATGTTGAATATTATTACAATTATCGTCATTTTGATCCATTTAACCACAACAAATTGCAATCTTCAAAGGAGAGCATAAACACAAATGACTTGCAAAATGTGTAAGGTAGCATACATCCTTAATACGCATCAACAAACTTTGATTTCAGCATTAAATTGATGTTAAGTTGAAAATTAATCAGAAAAGTTTTGCCAAGTGTATTTTTCCTTTCTACTGTAAGGTGAGAAAAAAGTGTAACTGCATATGTGTTTGTTTTCATCAAAAGAAATGTATGAGAAAGTGAGAAATATTTGATAAGGAATGAATGCACTATTTTTACTGGATTGAATATTTCTATAGTAAACTAAACAATTTATCCTCGGATACTCATTTATTCCAATTAAATATAACGATTGGAATGATATATCAGATTTTAAACAAATTGTAACTTACTCTAATAGATAACCACACAGTTTACATGTCTGTGTGTGGAATGTCTCTCAATGTATTTAACACTTAACCCCAAAATCTGAACAATATTCCAGTCCCTATAGTTAGTCATCAATTCCTTCATCCCAGATTCCTGACAGGGAAAGGTTTCTTGAATATAAGAGGGAATGAAAATTAATTGCATATAATTTTACTGTATACGTGTGTTTATAAATTCATTTATTTTTTTGTTTTTGTGAGATTTAATCATCATTCTTTTGAGTTTCCTTTCACTATATTCTTTTAAAGAAAACATGATTTGTTATCATACAAACAAGGGGAGACAATTTTGCATTGTAATGATTGGACAACAGAAACCAATCTTTGAACAACAGGAGCCAGAAAATGTCTGTATTCACTCATTACACAGATAACCAGGGGTGGACAACTTTGGTTAAAAAAAAATATATTCATGTATCAGTTTGCTGGATCTGTGTCTCATATTAATATAAATATCAAAAGTCCAAGGGAAATATTTTCTTCATCCTAAAGATGGAGTTGTATTCTTTTGAAATTTGCAATATCATGATCATAATGGTTTTTGTTTACATTTTGGTGTGTTTCTTTTATATATATATATCAGATATATATCTGAATTATGATTAAAATCTAGTCATGGATAATGTTTTGCTTCAATGAAAGAAATCTAATATAAATATGTGTAGGCAAAAGTTAATTGTTGTTAAGTCCAATATTTTTGAGGTTTTCAAATTTCATGGTTTTCCAAAAATATGAGTTTTAATTCGCATTGATTTCATAAATGAACCATGCTCACAAAATCAATTAAAATTATTGTCTGTTTTTCATTTTCACTAACATAATTATTCATGAATTTAGAGTACTAACGAATTCAAAGAAAAGAAATTCCTCATCAAAAATTAATTATTTGCATTAAATTACAATTTATAAAAAAAATAAACAATAACAATGTTTATCAAAACATTTTGATTGAATGTTTTTGTGAATAGTGGAAGAGGCCATTTTTAGAATAGGAAGCTGATGTTTAGCATCGATGTAAATATAACCTTAAACCCCTTCAAATGTAAATGAAACCATCTTAAAATTCCTTGACTGTTAAGATTTCAAATAATAATTTTGAGTTAAGTAATATCAGAGAAGGGCATTTATAATGTATATCAGGGGACATTTGATACTGACAAAGGGAGGTAATCAGAGATTAATTTTATTAGAAAAGGGCATTTGTTGAGGGCTTAAAGAGCAATCATAGGGATCTGAAAGAGGAAGTAATCTTGATAAAAAAGTGAGGAAATCTTCATCAGAAAGTGCAGGAAATCCAAATCTGTACTCCAAATCTAAAAGGGGAGACAATCTTATCTAAGTTCTTAAAGAGGAGATAATTTTGGTTTTTTTTATTTTTGAAATATGTCCAATATGGTAAGGAAGTAAACACTATGATGGTTATAAGAATTCATATAGTTATGTAAGATTTTATGAGAAAGTAAGTCCTTATTGTGAAAATATGACATTGCTATAAAAGGGGAATTAACTTTAAAAAGAAGTTATCTTGATTTAAAAAGGGAAGAAATGAAGGTGTAGTTCTCTTGACATGTGTATCACTGGGCCAGTGCAGCTATGTGTATATGGGAGAGAGTAATACACTTCTTAATTTTAAAACTGTTTAGAATATATGCGGTGGTTTAGAAATATATGGTGAAGTATGTATTTCTTGTAAAGTGGTTTTGCAGTTTAGAAAGTAATTTTCCAGTGATATTGTTTTTATTGGAAATTTGGAACATTGCTGTATATACTATTTTAACTGAAACTTCAAATCCATTGCAAATTCAATATTTATTTTCGAAGATGAAATGAAAATTATCACTTTTCATGACATGAGGAGTTTATTCTAAGATTTTTATATAATTAAGTGTTGATATGTTATGATTAGATATTTATTCCATGAAGAGAAAATACACCATTTGATTTAAATGTGCCTAATTTTGATATGTGTAAAAGTCCTCTTAATATCATGGATAAGAGGAAATGTGATATTAAACAACATATGACATTAACAGTAGCCATGATTTATTGTGTAAAAAATAAACAACTTTTATTGTAATGGTTAAGTTTGTTCTTGAATTTTGACAATTTCAGAATTTAGATAAAAAATTTAAATCTTCATTTTTTTAAGTGACGAAGCTAGAGCTGGATATACATTGACACAAAAAAAATTTAAAGTGGAATCGTTTACATTATTTCTGTGTGTTTAGGGAGAATGCCTGAATGGCAGGAAAGATGTCGGGAAGTTGTAAGGAAGTTTGATTTAAGCATGAGTGAAGGTGATAGTTAACGAGTTGGTATAATGGTGTGTTGTATTGGTCTGCAGTTTATTATTTGCCTTGTTTAGATGTCATTGTCTAGTGGAAACCAGGGCTAATCATTCTTGTAAATACTCATGTATAGAAAACCGTTGTGATTATTTATCAATACACAGACTTTTCACCATATTTGCTTTTGAAATTTATTTTAAGATGTCATTTTTCCTTTTTGTAGAAGCCTGGAATCCTCTTGATGAATGTTTTCTTTCCAAATGGCTTTTTTTTCTGCATCGACCGTATACTTCTAAGAGCCCTCTCCTTGCTTTGTTTACAAGAATGATTATGTATAGATGCGAGAAATTGATGCTAATTACCTGACACAAGGGAGAGAACTCTTAAAATCATGTACATTATGATAAAAGATTGAAGTTTTGTGTAATGCTGAACTTTACATGTGAAAAATGAAACATTAGTTTGTAAATGTATTTTTATAGATTTATCATTATAAATGTATATTTCAGATTTGTGGGTAACATAAGAGTTATGCTGCTTAGTAAATTAATTCAAAATATTTGCATATTTATTAATGAATTAATTCACTTATTTGCATATTCATTAGATAATTCAGTTATTTGAATATTCATTATAATTTGATTTAAATATTTGCATATTCATGTATAAATTGATTTAAATATTTGCATATTCATGAATAAATTATTTCATTAATTGACATGCATATATTCATAGACAAATTAATTTGAATATTTGAATATTCATGTGTTCATGTACATACTCCCCATTTTCAAATCTTAATCATAACATATAAATATAAGTTTATATTGAATGTTGGAGAAGATAATTTATGATGACTTACGGTAAATATCTGGTATGTAGTTTGTTATTGCTTCACGGTAAACAGTGGCTCTTTGTAGACACTTTTCAGATCTGCGTTACTTTCACTATATCAATAAGAATATTTTATGCAAAATTGTTTTTAGTGTTCTAATTGCATGTCGCTTTTCCTTTCTTTTATGTAAAATCAGAATTTTTGTTTATTTGATACACATGTATTTACAGAAATGAAGCTTACCCTGATTTTACATTTTCATGCTAACCTTGAAATTTCACTTGGGTTTTGGTGTTTGCTTTAGACATGTTGAATTCATCTGGTTTTTTTTAGCTGTTGTCCATTTTTTTAACATTCTACTTTAGATAGTTATGATTGCTGTCATCATTTTCTCCACCTAAAAAGGCCATTTCGATGCTGTGCCATTTAAAAGTAGTTTAAACTTTATAGTAATTTTGTTTCTTGAACAGGTGTCAAGTGTTTGTTCTAAAGACCCATGAAGCACTTACTGCAAAATTAATTTCCATAGTTTTTTTTTTATTATTATTATTTTTTTTTTCATGGATAGACATTACTTATGTACCTCTTAAAATCTGTTTTCAGTTTCCATTTTTTTGAAAAGGATGAAGAGAATTCTTTAGTACTTTGCTGTAAATTCAATTTTTTCCCCATAAAAATTATAGGCCATTCATGTGAAAATTACAACAGTTTGGCTTCACAATGTTTGTAAAATTGAAATTTTAACTATGGAAAAAACCTACTGTGGAATCCTTCATTTTCGTGGCGGAATTATTTTCTTTGATTTCATGGGTACTTTTGATGTATGTATTTATGTGTCCATGAACTGGTAAAATAGATTTATAATATATCATATTTAGATTTATGAAGCTAAATGTATCACTGAAATTACAGATCCACCAAATAGTGAAAATTTGTTTTACCAGAAAAACCTTAATTTAAAAAAAAAAAAGATTTTGAAAAAGAAAGAATTGAAACTTTCAAATTTCAATTTACCAACCGAACCCCACCACCCAAAGATTTTACAGCAGCATAACATTATGTCGTCAAGTCAATATTTATACAATTTCAGCTTTCAAATGTTAAGACTTAGATCTGTGTTATTTACTATGAAATTGATTTGTTAATGCGAACAAGATTGTACTTCCAGCTGTGCCATGGAGTTACATATATATATATATATCATCACATGCTAAATGTGGAGATAAATTTTTTTCTAAAAAAATTTTAAAAATGAAATGAAAGGAGTATTAAAAATCGGAAATAAACTATAGTTAACCAAGGTTTAAAGGTCTGTCATGCATGGCCATTTTCTTCATTTTGATTACAGAAAAATATATTGTATGTAGCGTGATTTCTATGAGTTATCGAGTATTCACAATTATTTTAATGTGATGTCTACTCTCACCACAGATTTATTGGACAAGTTGCAACTTAAATGATATTTAAAAAAATAAAATACCTATTATTGATAGAAAAATATATTATAAATTAAAGAGCAATTTAAAGTAATACGTGGTGACCAACCAAAGGTCAAGGTCACTTGATTATGTACAGAAGTGCCACCTGTTACTGTAATAATCTGATAATTATTTAAGGACTTATTAACTGATGTCGGTTTTTGTTAGAATACATTATTTTTAATTGGATGTTTTAAAATATTAAGTATTCAGAATCTATATTGCTACGTGCTTTTCAATGAGAACTTCTTTTTTTTATTTCTGCCAACACTAATGCCTGTTTTTCATTGTACTGAATTCCTCACACCGTACAATACAGATCTGACAAGTTCTTGATATTGTGTTGTTCTTTTATTTTGATATTAGCAAACAACAAGGAAATAAATTTTCTTTCTTCAGTGACAAATGCATGTCTATCAATAGTAGTTATCGTGATTAGGAACTCTTTAGAAATGGAGGCGACGTGAAACGTGTCAAACATGGCGGCAGATATCAGCCCGATTGTTGTTGTAAAATGATCTATTGATATCATCTTAGTCGTACGTGTTCAATGTAGTTCCGAAACGTTTCCATAATAAAGCCTATTGTTAAAACTTTGCTGTCTAACAGCATTGACTTGGTTGCTAAAATTCTAACACAAGATATCCATATTTTTTAGCTTAAACAATATTTTGTTCAATATATTCAACAATATTCTGCATATTTTACATCTTACTTCAGTTCCTTAACCATACTTTGTAAAAAAAACCCACAAGTTTAATGTCAAGCGATCTGAAACGGTAATATTAGATGTCCAGAAAAAAGCGATGTTTTAAAGAAAATAAGATTTGTTTAACAGTTTACTTGTCCATGGTTAACTGAATTTCTAGGAGATACATACTTGTAGTCCAAAATATACAAATCCATTGGGAATCCTAGGCTGAAAGGAAAGGCAAACATCATGGCAACAAGGCACATCAAAAAGTAAACAAACCCAGCCACCAGACACATCAAAAAGTAAACAAATCCAGCCACCAAAGCCACATCAAAAAGTAAACAAATCCAGCCACCAGACACATCAAAAAGTAAACAACCTCAGCCACCAAAGCCACATCAAAAAGTAAACAAACCCAGCCACCAAAGCCACATCAAAAAGTAAACAAAGCCAGCCACCAAAGCCACATCAAAAAGTAAACAAACTCAGCCACCAAAGCCACATCAAAAAGTAAACAAAGCCAGCCACCAAAGCCACATCAAAAAGTAAACAAACCCAGCCACCA